GCGTGACTGAAAGTGTAAACACCTTTGTTTTTGAATAGTCGAAATAGTCAAAATAGCACAGTAGCGAAAATGGCCGCCAGGTAATTCCTTAGACAAACCATGTCGGTAATCTTATTACCTACATGGACAAACATTGCCACGACGTACGCGCCCTGTACGCGCCCTGTAACGCCCTGTAGGCGCCGATGTGTTCGCCTAGATCCAAGCTTTCATATTTAAATTTATGTATTGATTAATATATTATCATGTTTAGTAACTTTTAGAAATTGTCTGAGTCATATATCTGTCTCCAATACATGTTACCACTGTTGCCACCTTAATAATGATGGGTGTGACTGATCATCAAGGTATGGTTCCTCATTACGGACACCTGCCGAGACGTTAGTGATTTAAGATAGTCAGTTCTTTATTTTAATGGTCTCCTGGACCTTCGTTGCTCTGTGGCATCGGACACGAGGCTCCTGTTGTGACACTCCGATTTCCGATTTTCGTTAGGTCAAGTATATTCAGACAATTCGCATCTCCAAATTTCGGCCATAATATCGTATTTATCTACACGCTAAAATAAATACGAACATGGCAATGCGGTGCCAGAGATCTAATTAAATTTTGAGCATGATTTTGTATTTAAGTTGCCAGTGTGTACTTGCATGGAGGTATGTTTATGGCCCTTGTAACTAAATCACCGTTGCGTAACCACTAAGCGAGAATCAAAGAATTCTGCAGCTATGCTATAAAGGTCTGGTCGGTGTCTTCTACCGTGAGTGACGCCGAATGAGTGTACCACACACTCGACGGAGACGCCCAAGCCACTAACGGGTTGGGTGCGTCTTTGGAATTCGCCAGTTGTCGGAATTCGACCGAGGCTGACTGCGACAGAATCATTGATCGAGTGCTTTGTAAATAGGTTGGACCAAAACTGTCATATTAGTAAATATTAATCGTTTCATTTCACACACAAATCATAAATAATGATAATATAGAAACTCAGACGTTGGAAACCTAAATGCGCATTTTCGTGTTTCCATGGTAACTTATAGACACATATTAGCAATATATATATATGACCATCTTTAATTGCGATAACCGAAATGGGGGGGGGGATATGTTTGGTTTTTAACACGGACATTTGGAATGTTATGTAAGTCGGGACATCCGATGATTTTGAGCTTCCAATTTCTATCGATGCATATTCTGGGTCTCGGTTCAATCTTTGATCTTAATTGGTTAAGGTGTATATATACCCGTTGCTTATGAAAAGTAAGATATAATGAGACATCGTGTATATCGCACTAGACTCGCACGTCTTGTTTTCTTTCTTGTTGCTTTAGATAACAAAATAAATATCGATTGTTAACAGTTATATGTCATTGCGCAAAGCAATTTCCACTTCAAATTCGCAATGTATGTCACGAGACTATGTTTATCCAGGTTGCACTGTTCGTAACAGTGGCTGTCACGCGTTACCTCGAAGAAAGCGTACGTCATCAACAGTGTGACGTCACTGAAAGGAAACTGTAAACAAGGGGGCAATATATCTATCACGTCCAAGTAATCAGTCTGTATGTAGGTCAGAGTACGTTCGTTCGAAAAGCTACACAGCTTTGGTAAAGGGTATTGCCATCACGTTGTGCTAGCGTTTCTTACTGAGTGTAATCGCCAATGTAATCTCGTGCCAACCCAAATTTTGATTTAATATCAAAGGTTGTTATTTAAAGGGGCACCTTCCAGTGAAGATTAATTTCACAACAAATTTACTTTCTGGATTAAAATAACAATGGATAACAAAAGATAGATTAACATTGTAAACAACATAAACAATAGTGTCCCATGATTCTTTGGTGCAATCCATGGGATTGAGCGGTTCCCCTTTAACGTTTTCATAAAGAATGGTGTAATTGAGTAAGCGCAGATTAGAATGACCGGTAGTGCTAGTATCTCGTTGGTCATATGTCTGTTTCTTATCCAGACATCAAACACATAATTATAGTCTTTCATTAGAGGAGTGCAATTTCTTAGGAATAGTGGTTATAAGGAGAAGGTGTTTGGCGTGCGACGTCCGTTTGATGTTCGTCTAAAAATGATGCTCTAAACAACGTATTTTGACGGTATTTATCAGTACGACGTCGCACGGTGCCTTGTCGAATACGACACATAACCGCAACTACTGCCTTTTAAAGTACGTAAGCTCGAATACTTTCACTAGGAGGTGCAAGGGCACGGTTATGGTAAACTATATAACGACTCGGATAATTTGCACGACGGAATTATTTTATTTACATTCTGTTAAATTGTTTGTTTAATTCGGTGTGCTTGTACTTGTCTATGATGGCATCGACTGTTCAAAATTACACCAATTCTCGCAACAAATGTTGTGTAAGCTAGCTAAATTAAGAGACCCACTTACATATCAAATGCCACTGACACGAGTGTTCGCCGTCTCAAAAGTTCGTTGCACTTTTCCTTGTTTCTGCATTCATGCAATGACCCAGGCCGCTTGGAGTTAATGGGATATTGTTCGGTGAACCGTGTACCTTTCACCACACCTTGGAATGGAAATCGAACGCTACGTCAGAGCATAGACGATCTATGGTCAGAGGTATAATTCGGTTATATCTCCATGGACACTCACACCAATGCGCTATTAATAGATACACAACCATTGATATAAGTAGTTACAAATGTTATAGTCACTGTGTTCTGCCACAAGATTTACTGAACTGTGATTACCGTGTTGATAAAGTGTGTATGTATGTATGTATGTATGTATGTTAGACATTTCATGTGCGAAAAATAGTCCGGTGACCCATATTATACCTCTATGGATGACCATACTTTTTTTTTTTTAAAAGTTGAGTTTTGTTAACAACCATCGAAACATCGAGGAAATTTGTTTCATTTGTTGTAATTGTAACCACGTACAATGAGTGCTATAAACCCTATTGTATTATGTGGTCTGTGATTGTATTCCCGTAGGCTTGGTATCTTGTACGCATATACCATATTCTTTCAGATTTATTTTTCTGTGTCTCATTTCATGATTCATTCATCTGATTTTCGCCTCGCCAGTGCAACCCCGCTGAAATATTGGTCCGCATCTAACTTACAAGGGCGCTACTAGGATTTTTGGCTCATAAATATACATTTTCTGGTCAAATGGCACACCATGGAGGTAAAAAGAGACTAAGGAGCTATCTTATCATACCTCCTTAAATGGAACCATTCTCGTGAAAAAAAAACGGATGGCGTAATCGAGATTTAAAATTTGTACTCAATATTCACCCTCTCTGTTTTGTACCGAGCCTGTGCGCCATTTACTGGCAATGAATCAAAGTAAACCTGCTCGAATGACTCAGAGAATTTGACCTAACCGGGATCTTGACAGAAAAAGAAAGAGAAACGACTATTTTGTGATGGGAGTACACAGGGGGTCTGTAAAAAGCACAGTCCCCTCCCTATAACCACACAAACACATGTTAGCACAGTGTCAACATACACTTCGCATTCCACTCTTTGGAAACCTAATCCGTTTTTTCTCCAACTGCCCTCTTGCTTAGCCACATAGGAGGTCAAGTTCTGGTCGCCGCTAGCATAATTTCTCTGTGCATGTAATTGTCGTCAGTCTCTCTGACACCGCGTCTGCTTTCTTTGTGAACGTGATTGTATATCAGATGATTTGGTTTATGGTAAGAAACGTGTTTTTGTTTGTAATACCATTGAGGTATATTCACATGGCGTATTAGTTAGTCGTTTTAAACGTATCAGCAGACACACTGCAGTTAACAAGTACACGGAGATGCATTTCTATTAATATAATCAATGACTGCTTTGTCGAAGCTACAGACTTGTGGATCTTATTTCGTTTTAGTTATTCGCCATATCGTTTGGCGACTGTACTCATATAACAACCAAGAAGAACTCGGGTGTGTGAACATTTACTTCACTTATTTTCGACATTTTTGCTGTACAAACAATTGTTCTTTGCTTCCACATACCAAAAATATTACCATCTGATATATATATTTTATTATTCTCCAGTAGATTGTTCAATCCCTCCCCAGTTTCAACTCATCTTTACTTGGAGAAATATATTAGGCAGGCCTTCCATTATGCACTAAACGGGGCGTGTAGTGGTCACATATTTGTCTGAGTAACCATATTATGTAAGCATAGACCTTAGAAAACAAGGTCTATGATGTAAGCAGACATTCAATTTGAATTGATACATTGAAAGATCGCGACATGCGAATGTATTTGTCTACTTACTTACTTGGGTTATGGTTATGCCCTGGGTTATGCAATAAGTCTCTTTGCTGGGAACATGGAAAAAATCATGCGCACATTTTGATGCGCACACGTATTGTGACTATTTAGTTTAGTCTTTTGATATTTCATTGTACTCCAGCATATTAGATGCATCCTGGGTATATTTTATAATATTTACTTTATCAATTTTTTGTCACGATTGTTACGTTATGGTTATTTGACCGCGTAGTTACCTGGGTGGCACAGGCAGATTATAGTGTATAACAGGGATGGAAGGAGCGTGGGTATAATTATGGAATACCTTAGCTACAACATGGAAGGCCCATGATGACCCCACTCGGCCACCCGCCCCTAGAGCTGGGCGCTGCCAATCTCTGGAATGTAATCATGGAGTTGTTTACGCTATATATCTGCATTTTATAAAGAATGTTTTGGCCCTAATACAATTAATATTTGCATATGTTTACGAACTATTTATGAGTCACACTATCGATGTGCACATTAATGTCAGGTCGAACTAACCCTTATATGCATTCCATGTGACAGGCACGTGACCAGTCAAGGGGAACTTTTACTGTGGGTGCGTATTCGTACGCAGGGTTATTAGTCACTTTATACTGTGACTCGTTGATCACGATCTTCCCTAACGACCATATCCATTCATCTGTTGCAGGAGCGTTAACCGATATCTCATAGTTTCTGGTGTGTGAAGACAACAAACACGTGTCCGTAAGATGGGCGCGTTTTCGCAGTTAGGGCTCTTGCTCTGGAAAAATATAAAACTCAGACAGCGATCACCCGTAAGTAAAAGTTTCTCGTATAGATTTCAAATATCTCATTCCAGTATGATAGGGTCTTGGGATCGGTGAACACGAGCTAATTTTAATATGCCTTTTGCATTCCAAGTATGTGTTTGTTAACCTGTAAAAGTGCACTCGCACATAAATCCACATTAATTTGACACGTGTTTCAACCCTGGCTGTTAACTTGATACTCCCGATTGATATGAGACAATGTTAAGAGTAACTGATCAGTGGAAGAAGCATATTTCTCTCCCGGAACGCCAGGAAATGATCACGATTATTTTCTGGGATAGGAGGAGGAGGAGGGGTGGGTTACATTTATAATTTGCATTATACTATATGCCTTCAATTATTTAATTAAATCGTTTTTATTTCCATGGTAACAACATACATTATTCTGCTGTAAGTTATAGAAGTGTATTTTGAGGACTGAAATTAACCAGATATTATTAAAAAATACTAATTTTAGGACTGTACCATAGAACATAATGTTGAATAAATATAGATTTTGTTGGCGTTTGACATTTTCAACGTTACAATGTTTTTTTTTTTATCGGACTTGATGGAATTGTTTGTGCGTATTTATTACCTCCACACCACACCGAATGATACAGTGTGGACCATGAAGTACAATACAACACGCAGGAATATATTCGTCAAAAATGATAATACACAATCCATTCTTATTTTTTCCCTGTACAGGTTCTTACCGGAGTCCAGTTATTATGGCCGCTTATTCTTTTCTCTGTCATAGCTGTGCTCAGAATGGGAAACCAGCCCATAGAAAATGGGTCATGTAAGAACAATGAATTACTTAAAGTTTACAAGAATTTATATTCAAAGACGCAATATGGACGAAAACATATTATAAAAACGTGTGTCTGGTACTGCATGTCGATACCCGAATCGTCTTATGATTTATCCTGAAGCGAAAATGTTAATTCTGCAGTTTACTATAAAGTATTTGATGAAAAATGAAAACAAAAACAAAAAAATACGCATGTGCCGTGATTTTTATTGAACGTACCAAAACAACAATGCGCATGCGTATTAGATTATCGTTGATTCATTGAACGAATACTTCGATGTGTGTGATTAATAAACAACGTTCTTCAGCTCGTGACAAATCAGAAACCAATGTGTTCAACAGCATTATATACCAAACAATAGTCTTAAAATGACATGTTTTCGTCCATATTGCATTTGAAGCAGATCTAGATCCGGGATTTGGAGTCAAATTACTAGATCCATTTTACAGATGGTTGCGCGATTAACCCATCCAGGCGTGGTTACGTTATTTATTTTGGCGGACCACCATTGTTTATATATACTCATGTCGGATAATATAAAGTAGACAATATTCAGTAATCCCAACGATTCAAATCTGTGTTCACTTAAGTGACACTACCTTTGTCAATATAATGTCTACTGGAAATGATTTTGTTTTATTTCAATTTAGGTAATTATAGCCCCAAAGCTCTGCCAAGTAGTGGATTGATGCCATTTATGCAGTCATTCATTTGTGATGTTGAAAACACATGTCATGATACCATCACGACCCCTGACAACCAGGTGCCAACGTATGCCGGGGCACAGTAAGTACATAAATTACATTCACATGAAGTGTATACTGGGAAGGGTCGGCCGAAGTGAAGACGTGAAAGGTTTTGCACATTGTTTCTTCGAAGGTGGCTTCAATTTGTTCACTAATCACGTATCTCAATTCGTACACGTTGATTGGTCGGCAAACTTTTTCTTTTGTTATTGGTGCCGATCCATTTTTGATAACTATCCGGACTATGGTCAGACTAAGCGTCGTACTAACAAATTGTATTCGGTATAAATTGATAGTTCCCATAATGTCATGCCAATGGCATACCACTGATTTTATTCATTTGTAATTCTGAAAAAAAACAACTTTAAAATACTGTGGTCAAAACATCTATCATTTGGAAACTAAAATCGCGTTTTATTAACTTCCCGAACTTTGGGATTCGACAGACCGTCAAATAATCAGGTGTCTTTATTCAACATTAACCAATTATAATTAGGACTAAGTTTTCCGGCCAGGGTAGTATCCTTGCCATTTTTAGATGACATGACTGCGAATTTTTTAGTTTATTTCAAAGAATTCTATTTGACATATTTTCAACATAAGAACAATAACATGGCAATATTCGTCGATAAAATAATGAAAATGCGCATGCGCTTCGAATCATGTACGTACAGGTCAATCCGGGCGCATGCGTTACTGACACCTTATTTGATTTTAATAAGGTATACGAATCATATACGGATCGGATATAAGAAGAACATTTCCTTTTTATGGCCGTCATTTATTAGATACAAACTGCCAACCACTTGGTCATATGATATGGCACTTAATACTGTAAACAATTGAGAAATAAATATCAGGTTTTTGACATTACCTAATATGGTTCAATGATTACCATAATGAGCAACTGCTAATCACAGAGTCCTGGCTACGCCATGGTGCTCGTATCATTGGGCTAAGCACTTTACTCCTGCTGTTTCTCACTACCCAGAAGTAAATGGGAACCTGGTATGAAATGTACATGGCAGCGGGGGAGTTGATATGGCAAATAAGTTAGACTCAGTATAGGCCATCTACCCAGAGTATAAATCGCATCGCCCCTGACCGTGACGTCGTAATTGAGTTGGGCGCTATATAATTAGGTTCATTATTTTGTTTATACCATTGTCAGTATAATTTCAATAATTTAATATACGAAATCAATACAGATAATCAATACTCGTTCATTCTATTTTTAGACTCAGTGGCCCAATCGGTGAATTTGTATACCGTAATAATAAAATACGAGGTTCACGTACTTGGTCGAGTGACTGCAAATTCGCGCTGATCCACCACTTCGCGAAACCCTTACATAAACTTATAGTAAAAAATCACCGCGACTGCAGGCCAAACTTTCAGGCGACCTCTGGTCTTTCGCTGGTCTGACCATTCTGTGTGACACTGTATTCTCGATTATTTGAGGTTGTATATGTATTTATAATATAAACAACGAATCAATTGTATATAATACTTGTAATGTGTTTATTTCCTAGAATATCTGTGATTGTGACTGAGTTGAACGAACTATTCACTAACACGAGTCTAATGGACGAAATAAAAGATTTATCGTATAGTATTGAACCACTAAACGACTTAAAAGACCTAATCAACGATGGGATTAAGAATTTGACAAGTAAGATACTAGTATTTTAATGGTCGACAAAATGTGTTGTTTTTTCTATAAATTGTATTATGTATTTGCAAAGGTCGATGTGACCGCGTATTGTCTGAGTACCTTGCGGTATGCTCGAAATAACCTTATTATTGCGCTTCTTACTGGACCATCCACGTTGTCTATACTAGTAACTGAGCCGAATGGAGTATATTATTAAAAAAATCTCGTTATGAACGTCGTCTTCAAAAACGTCCGCCCTTTTGGAAATACCGCGTAATCGTTCCATATTTGGAAATCGCATTTCCTAATATGGTGGGATACAGATACTCCTTGCTGAATCAAACTGAGTGATGACAACGCCATCACTTGTTAGTGGTCATTGTGAAATAGTTTATCGACTCTCGGTGCCATCTTAGAGGCACGCTTTCTCAATATCATGAGCAAGTTTAAGGCACCACATATGGCTGGAAATAGCATATTTCAGCAAAGATCTCGCTCTGGATTTGAAAAGAATTTGTCGATATCACAGTTCCTCCAACTTACGTATTGAGTCACTTGAATCTACACAGATAAACAATACAGATTTGGTGATTTGTTCCATGATGAAAAATATATCAAAAATTATTTGGTCCGCCAGACAAACATGACAGAAGAGACGGTCATGGCACTGATGAACGCTACGGTCAACGTAAACAGGGTAAGTAGAGGCGCCAACTGGAGCTACTCTGAATAAATTCTTTTGTTTTTATAGAATATACGTTAAATATATACATGTAATTAAAAGCGTTTTTGCTATTGGAAGTTTTACGTATATTTTCGTCTTTTCCAGATATTTGAGTTGATGGGCTACACCGATTTTAAGGGAATCGTTTGCAACGAGACGGCCCTGGAACGATATCTTCAATTCGAGGAGGGCGCTAATGTTTCAGCTGTAGTTGATGCGCTGTGTCATGTGAACGATTCTCAAATTGCGGAGTTAGTCGAAGAAATACAGCGACAACTCGATATTCGGTACATCATCAGCGAGGTGAGCGCCCTCTATGTTTTACATTAGGGTTTGAAACTTTATCGAAAGCCGATACTTCAGTATGAATTCAGTGTAATTGTTTTTTCAATTTCATTCTTCATCGCCACATTGAAACTTTTACTTTGTCTCCGTCTTTAACTTCTCCGAATTTGATAATTTAATTGTTTTCTCTTATATTTAAAACTGATCTTGTTTTGTACATGTTGCGCAAGTCAAATAAGTCGTGCCCATGTTATGTAGATTGGTGGAGATTTTCGAAAGTGTAGTCGTTCAAAACAAACAAATTAAGTGTGTTGTCGTTACAATATATACACCTCTCTGTAACAGGATTTTGACTGTTACAAAACAATATCGTTCCTCCTCGATGTTTCCCCCAACCGAACGGTCTTTGCCTCTTATGTCTCAAAACTTTATGTTTTGGATCAGCCTGGAAGAAATTCGCGGGCTTGGCGCGTATTAAAATTATTTATTAAACATCCTGTTTGGGGGAGGGTGCCCGCAGGTCGAGCACAGCCTGAAGAGGCGGACTCCTAAGTTAGCAGCAACTTATTTAGTTGGCGCTTTTGACGCGGGCGTTTACTTACTGCAACGTGGAGTTCACAGACCGTCGCGTAGCGGAGCGTCGGGTGATGAGAGAGGTAGTCTTTCGCGATTCCAGTACGTGTTTTTTCAGATAAGCTAATAACAACGTATATTTTTTTTCAGTTGACCGTATTACTGGATTTGATTGGCAGCTACGATTGGGACCAGATCTTATCTGATCTTGATCGACTCCTGGAAGGACTGAACAATACCGCGGACATTGCACAGTTTCTAAAAGATTTTCCCGCTATGCTGGAATTCATTGACTTGATACCGCAGCTACAGAAGTTGTACGAGGCTTTTACATCGGGAATTCTGGACCTGGAAACTGAATTGTGAGTAGTGAGGTTAAACCTCTATTTTCGTTGCCGTGGGTGCGTTAGCATTTGTGATATTATTTAATTATTGCGCGCTCACCGATGACATCTAGAAAGTGTAACCCTCCAGTCTCTCCCAATAGACCACTTTCGCGGAAGTCGAACTTGAAGATACGACGTTTTGCATGCGCGCGCATACCGTTTTGCGGCCATGAGCGTGCATTATATTTCTACGTGTCAGAGGTTGTCTCTGATTGGCAGCCATAGAAAGACTACCGACCAATAAAATTTGCTATTACAAATAAAATGTTAAAAGTTTGTGAGTGCGCGATGATTAAAGGGCGACTGTCGTCGCGCCGCGTTCTGTTCGATATGGGTCTCATAGCGACGTATACAACGCGTGTAAAATACATTGTTTATTTACATGAAATTCGAACACGCGGTGCTCCACGACCACCGCCCTTAAAGGAAAGAAACATTCATTCTATGATGTGTGTCCAGTTTAACATGTAGCATATGCAATGCTCGGATATCGAGCGCAGCCAAGCAGTTCACTGATTCACTAAAAATATAACTCACGAACGTCGAAGCCGGAAGTTATTAATTCTCGCGCGAGTTGCTCGGAATTCAAGATGGTGTCACGCACCAAAATGACTGGAAACACTATTCAAAGTTTCAGTCGGTTGCCAGAAAACGATTTCTTTATCATTGAACAACATCCTGAAGATGCGTTATCAAGAATGAGCTGCCTCGCTTTGCATACTATATTTTGTGAAACAACAAAGAAAATTGCGCCACCCATTGACCGGAAGTGCAATATTTTCGAACTCTTAGATTTCATTCATGCTCTCATTATATACACGTTATCTATAGAGCACACTTCGCGAGGGGCTTTCGGCGGTTCTTGCTGCGCTCGCTATAACCAACAAAGCGTCACCGTAGAATACACGCGACTAGTTTCATTCTCCATGGGTTACACCACACTCGCTTCACAGACAGTCTATGGAGGGTCTTTGGTTACACCATGGAGCTAAAAAAACCATGGTTACACACACTTCAAAAATGAATAATGGTATAAGGCCCTGTGCGCATTACCCATTCACAGAAATCGAATACAAAACAAAACAAAACATGGAGCATTCTGATTTGCTGATCATTGCTCAATTTCAACCAATCATGGCGCAAATTATTTAAGATGATGTCATAGCACTTAGCTAGAACATTATAATTTGAAATTTTGAAATGATTATAATTATAATAAATACAAATATAATTATATATCCTTATAATTTCTGATTTTTTTTATTCAGATTTGAGCATATCATAGATAGCTTTGACGCACTACTTGGTAACGATACTGTCTGGTTCAAGATCAAAAGCGGGCTTCGTCAAATTCGGGTTATTCTCGAGTTGTTCAATGATCAAGCAGATGAGCCTATAGGTGAGACGGTTTGGTGTTATAATTCATACTTAATATTAGTCATAGGTTTAATAAAAACAATAAAACAATCTTCTGAAAAATACTTTTTGAATTTAAAAGTAGAAATGTTCTGATATTTCAGACTCATGTAATTGTATGCAATTCCAATAAACCTTTCAAAGTATTTCAGTAATGAAAAATTGACTTATTTACATGCAGTCATTCATTTATAGCTCTCAGAAATATTATTTATTTTTTTTATTCATTTATTTACACAAACATACAAATGTTTACCTCAAAGTTTTGTTTTTTTGAACTAGATGTGCTGGAACGGAGGATACATGTTACAAACTACAAAATAAAGCCAAACAAAAATATTTTATTGCTCACTACCTAACAAAACAATATCAAACAGTCATCTTTCATATTTTAAAAAAATATTAGAATTTAGCAGATTTCCATTAAAAAATAAATTAATCAAGTGATCTTGAGTTTAGCTGCAAACATGTGTATTAAATGTACAGCATGATTAAAATAATGTTTTCTACTTTTTCAGAAAATGACGTAATACTTGGCAATCTTTTTGGTAATAATTCTGCCTTTTTTCAAATTATTGACGACTATTTTGAAGATACACCTAATGTTTCCCTGGCGTTACTTAATGCTATGGTTTCTCCGGACATGGTAAGCATATCACACAATGAATACTAAATACTTCCTAGTGACTATTAACCATGTTGTAGCGCTTGTATTAGACACTATTAATCTGCTGTTGAAATACTCAATACTTGTTTATTGTGCTCAATGATACGCTAATATTCACCCATATTTGTTAATACTTTCAGTTGATGTTTGTAATAAAGTCTCGGTCAGTAGATCGCGCAGTTTGGATGCTATGCAATGACAGTCTTTCTGACATCTTCACTTTTACCGATGGTGTGGATGAGGAGTACGTCCAGAACGCTCTGTGTAGCGGCAACGTGACACAGCTCATGACAGATCTACTGCAAAATTTGGACATGGCACAGTTAGTAAGAGAGGTGAGAAAGCAAATCATTATATACTTCTTGTATCATCGGGGTAATCAATTGTCTGCGATGGAAGTGACATCATACAGTCATATCATGTCAATACTCGATGTCAATGTCTTTAGTTTTATTCACAAATTGAAGGAAACATCAATCCAAACAACATAGTGACCTCTAAAGAAAAAGCTCCACAAATGTAGGAGAATGCAATTTAATGTTTTTTATATAACTTTTCATCAGTTTTATGTAGTCAGCCATCTTGATTTTCAAGCAAAGGATTGTGGGTAAAGTATGACATCATAGAATCTGTTGTCAGAAATTGAGAAAATGATTTTATCTATGTTTATCTAAGTCTAACATCATGATAGTCTAATACCAGATGAAAGAGATCGGCAAATGTAAGAACATGCAATTTACAGCTTTTTCAGTATTTCTCACATTATAGATGATGTCATACTTTACCCACAACCCTTTGCCAGCGAATCAAGATGGCGGATTACAAAATACTGATGAAAAGTTGAATATCTAGAAAATGAAAAGTGATATAAAAAAACCTGTAAATTGCATTCTCTTACATTTATGTTGTTTGGCTTGACTTCCCCTTGGGAAAATTGCAAGCAAATGATGCAACGATGAAATGATTAAATTAGTTTATAAACATTTTTTTTTCTGTCACTATATTTTTAGTTGACACAGTACAACCCTAGTCCCGGTGGGATGTTTGACATTGATTGGAATCAACTCTATGATGAAGTCAAAACCATGATTGATGGACTACAATACATTCCAATGGATATGTTGGATAAGCTACCTGAGTTTCTACAAAGTCTGTCCGACCTCAATCTTGGCTCATGGAACGACTTGGCACAAGGACTAAGAAACACAAATGCAACATATGCAGGAAGGCTGCACAATATCTCAGGCATCATCCAGGATATGTTTCCAATAGATCCAGCGATGTTTGAATTATTAAACATACTGGTCCCAATTCTCGAGAACCCAAACATTACTCTTGAAGAGAAGCTAGATACAGTTTCGAAGGTTGCAATTGGTCTGTTTGCAGATCAGATGCAAAATTCATCATTTTTGCTACCCATGCAGAAAGGTCTCATCTTGCAAAATCTAATGTATGACATGATACTGACATTTACTGAGAAATTTGTAGGTAAGTATAAACGAGACAACCCTCAATTATACATGTATTACTGTATTTGCTCTATTAAAAGCACATGCTTTTGCGTAAATGACGACAGTGGTACATGCATCTAAGTTCCTAAATCATATTTTAAGAACTTTGCAAAATCCAATAGGGAGTTTTATTACTTATACAATATACTGTAAAATAATTTATATTAGCTGGAATTAATTTTTGCTGAAAAGACATTTTGGGTGTTTTGTATGGAATTTATTTTCTCTGAATCATTCCTTCAGTGAAAACAGCGAAAATTAATTCCAAGCTAAAATAAAGTATTTTACAGTACAATAAATTCTCTATTGGAGATGTGTTTTTAATTGAAGAGTGTACAATACATAAACCTTCAGGTCAGCCTTCTAGCAGTGAAGTAAAATTCCCAATTCATGTTACAGGGGAGAGATGGTGCCCGGAAACCTGGATAATGGAAGGAGCATCTTGTTACAAAACGGTTCAAAATGAGGCTACATTGATGGAAGCAATAGATCAATGCCAACTTCTGTATGCAGGGGCCAATCTCGTGTCGGTGAATGATGAGTATGAGCAAAAAATGTTAGAAGAAATTGGGTAAGTCTTTGCTAATTATATCTCGTAAGGCATTTCTTAGACTCTACTGATTTCGTTGTTTTTTGCCTTTAAATACGCCTTTTCTATTCTATTGCCTCATTTGATAGCGATGTACTTTGGTGGCATATGAGTAGGTGAAAGGAAGGTTTTGTCAGCGTCGTTATTACCGGTATTATGATCATCGCTCTTCCTCCAATAAAAACATCAGTCATTTTGACGTCACTTAACTACTTTGATAGTAGAGGGCGCTATTCTTAGGCTGCAGCATGATCGCCCTCAGGATGGAAAAATAGATAGATGGGGCAAGTAATTTATGTTTGCGGATGAATGGAATTCAGCTAAGTGTTGTGGAAACACTGATTATGATACATTCTACGAACCGCTCAGCAAAACAGTGATCAAGTGTTGTATTTAATTATATGCGATAGAGTTATCTGCTGTCTTTTGTTTGTCATTCAGAAGGACGTGGATAATTACAACACATGTACAGTGAACGTATTCTCTTCATTTAACAATTATTTCACCCTCCAACCTATTAAAATAAAAATTTGCAAGTGTAAAAAATGGCATAAGTATTAAAATCAATTCTACTCTCCACTAAAACTACTGTTTTTGAGTTATTTCACTATATTCTAAGTAATAAACCGCTACACAAATCGAAAAGCTATCACTGGAGCAGACACTTTTATTCATCATAGCCCTACTGCTGGAGACTACTAGTATACGGAAGTCTGTGTGTGCAGTTCATATTGCATACATACTGGTTTGTCATTGGTTAAGATCAATCTTAGTAAGATTCTTATATTGTTAGATGTAACTTCATGTTTTTCTCGACTATCTCTACAGGAAACCATACTCTACCTGGATCGGCGCACGGCCGTACCCCGGGGGAGCAGCCTGGTTGGACGGAACAAACTCCAGTTACTCAAACTGGATGACGGGTGACCACAGTGGTAACTGTGTAGTCGCGAACTTTGGTACTGATGGTTTCTGGGAAAAGAAGAATTGCACTTCAAAGGCTGAAGGGTTTCTATGTGAAGCAAAACAAGGTAAGGACAACAAAGAAATACATAGTATATTTATACAATTTGTCAATATATGTTAAACAAAAGAGTTTTCCTAGATTAAACTTTATGAATTCTGTAAGAAATTACAAGTAAGTTAATGTAGAAATCACTCCCAGAACATATATCAATTTTATATTAGTGTGTTGTAAGTAATAATTTGAACACTAATGTATACACCATGGTGTATTGAATAATTTATATCACTACTGACGTTCTAGGACCACCAATCCTGCGAGGCATCAGGGAGAACCCCTTTGTTGAGCTGTTATATACAATACTTGACCTTGGACCAGAAGTTTCGATTGCTATTTTGGACGCCTTCAGCTCGTCGTCGCTCATTGAGGTAAGCCTGATTGCTGCTCCATTTCAGCTTTGTAGTTTGATGCTTAGTGATTAGAGTTTGGAAACACATCAAACAACAAAAATGCATGGCCTTATTTGCTTTACTGTTATTTTGTTAATATTACAGCAAATGTCAATGCCTGGTTTCTGGAATTCTACTGGCCTCTTCTGTGATGATGTGATTCAGTATCCAGAAACTGTGAATATTACAGTGGTCAAAGAAGCTCTCTGTTCATTTAATATTCATGAAATGGTACAACGTGTCAGCGAGGAGTGGGACTTCTGGCAGGAGGTAGGTAATGAGTGATGGGATATCTGGGGAGGGGTTGGTTGGTAACGAGGGGTGGAACATCTGGGATGAGGTTGGCAATGAGTGGTGGGATATCTGGGATAAGTGTGGTGGAATATCTGGTATGAGGTTGCCAATGAGTGGTGGGACATCTGGGATGAGGTTGGCAAGGAGTGGTGGGACATCTGGGATGAGGTTGGCAATGAGTGTTGGGACATCTGGGATGAGATTGGCAATGAGTGATGGGACATCTGGGAATAGGTAGGCAATGATGGGACATCTGGGATGAGGATGGCATTGAAAGATGGGACATATTTCTTCTTCTCTTTCCTTACAAATATGTTTAACTATGTATGTTTTTATTGCCAGCTGGAGATGTACATTGAAGTATGGAACACCAAAATCACAGACCTGACTCCGGAACAATTACAATATGCAAATTTATCCGCCATTTTCCTGAAGGCAGATCTTGTGCAAGCACACATTGAAGAAATCACTATGAATCCCACAGATTGGGAGGCTTTGTTCTGGAATATTTTCAGTGACGTCAACATGGATTCAATGGAGGCCATAATAGCACAGTATTCTTGGCAACAACCAGCATCTATGGAGGAAGGGTGAGTTAATTAATTAAAATCTTTCAAACCAGTTGTTTTTAGTATATGATAAGTTTATGGCTGCTTGTGTTTACCTATGCAAAATCAAGTGGATCGACGACCAATCAGAACACATATAACAGAATACTTTCTAGAGTAACATAGCATATGCATATTTTAGTAAGGCACACTCTAATTGGTTGATAAATCCTGGCAGAGGAAAGCTGCTTGAATGTGATTTGAATAGTTTTTGCCAGATGTATGCCAGGATTCTGCTTTGTTCCAAATTAATTATCTTTGAATATGCAATTGATTGGGAAACTAACATAATCTGGTTGGGACGTGCTAAAAAGCATTGAAATTTGAATATTTAATATATATTACCCACAATTCCAACCTTCAACTATGTTACAGAACCTTTATTATTTAATATTATTATTTATAAAATTTGTATAATTGTTTAAAAAAAAATTTTCATATATTTTAAAAGCGATTATTTTATTTTGTTTTGTAGAATTGGCATGATGATGTATGGATTGGGTTCTGTATTAGAATCAACTGACCAGTGGGCGATGTACGAACCATTTTTTCTCTACTCCTATTATGAAATGCAAATACTTCTCAAACAAAATGAGTGGATTGAAGGTACGTTTTCTGAATTCCAAAGTCACCTTTTGTCCCCATACGAAACATAAATATTTTCATTTATACATTGTTATTTGCTTAGTTAGGAATGTACAACGTATTATCCAATATTAATAGTTTGTGATCTTGATGTAAAAATACAATTTAACTTATGTTATATTTATATATAATGGTTTGGGGTTGATGTGCATGACCAGCTGAAAGTCTGAAAGGTACAAACAAAATGAGTGGGGGGGAAAAAACAGTGTTAATATTATAAGCAAGGAATACACGTGTGACTTTCTAGTAATTCACATTTTTTGACTGGCTTGCTCAAATGGTTATTTACCTGCACAGACAGATTACAGACCTCCCTCCCAAACATAGAAATTATGTGTAAACAACTCTAGAAGTGGTTGTGACTTATTTTGCTTGGGTCTGATTTTAATATGTGATCTGAATATCTGGAGGGACGATATCGTGTACCGTGCTACGAATGTGACTGGATATCTACGATGTTATTTTTAATGTCATGTGATTGCTAGGTGCATCATTGTACTTCCTTATGTGGGTCTCCTATTCTCATGTTTTTGTGATTGATGTTTCATAAAGTGAGACTAGTAGTGCCAAATACTGTAAAAGGATTAATTATTCACTGGGTTTTGATTTTGCTTATTTCGTTGACTGGAAAATGCGCTAAATTAAAACCCAGTGAATATGTAAAATTCAGCATAGAACACATTATCTAAATGATAAAACCGTGAATTTAAAACTGAATATGCCTGAAATGGTAAATCAGCGTAATTCAAACCCAGCGAAAATTAGTCATTTTACAGTACCGGTAGTCAGAATTCAGGGTTCTTTTTTGAGCATTATAGAGTATCCCCCACCACCCTATAATTTTTGATGAACAATATAACTAATTAACATGCTGTATTGTTATGCAAATCAGACAGTATAAAACAATTAAATTCCTTCGAAAGTTTTTATTTGTGAAGACTCATTATCTGAACTGTATATTCATCAACAAATAGTTTGAGACTTAAATATTGGAATCTTCAGAAATTTTGTCATCAAAAGGCAAATTATTCCAGCAGAAATCCCTTATTTGTCCCTCGATTCATATTTCGTTATCACTATATCGATAAATTTTTTTTATTGTACTAGCATTATCAAGAGGAGAAATTGTCACAGAGGAACCGCATATGATGAAACTTATGGAGGGAGTGATAGGGTTAATGGAACAGCCGCAGGATGTGATGATACCTTTAATGACTGTTATGTCAGACCAACAGTTTGTAAGTATAGTCATAAGTAATGTCATAACAATTTACAATTGGAAAATGATAAACCAAACATTGATTGATTTTTTCATATTTGAACACATGGGAAATTTCAAATGGCGTCACTAAGTATTTCGTCATGTGATTAATTATTCATGAGAAAGTTTGATTCAAACAAACAAATACGTAAACAAAATATATACTGTAAATTACTTCATTTTTTCACTGAAAGGATGATTCAGTGAAAATAAAATCCAGTGAATATAACTTTTTTCCTATATTTTACATTCAACTCATCAAAACTCAGTGAAAATAAATTCCATACAAAACGCCCAAAAAGTCTTTTCAGCGAAAATTAATTCCAGCTAAAATCAAGTATTTTACATTAATATAATCTTAAATCTTTCATAAAATTACATTGCTCTGTAAAGGTACATTCCTGTTTAGAGATATTTACTGTACAAATGTTAAAATCGGAGACTACTTTTTCAAATGAAATTCCATTTTATTGTTTTGTATGGCAATAAAGTTCTCACATTGATACACATATTGAATATAGGACTGTAGGCCTTTAAAGTTTAGTTTATAATCTCAAAGGTTTTGTTCAGGCAATAAATCTCTTTGTGATTTACACTGAAAATTCATAGCAAATTAAAATCTTGTAACCATAACAAACGCTATTACTGTGAGATTTCAAAGTTAAACATGTTAATGCTACCGTGAAAAGTTGACTGAATATTTGTAAATTTGCCTTTCCCCTAGAAAAAAGTTCTTCTCCTTGGTGATCAGAACCTTGGATTGCATAATTAATATCATTATAATTGAATTCTAATTATGGAATATCAGACACCATTTGGTTACCATTCAAACTTGAGCGTCACGTTCATTGTACCTTTATAAAATTAAAGCCTCTCTTCTCCTTGCAGATTAATACATTGGTTGGTCAGGAAGACTGGCAAGCAACGTTCTGTGACCCTGTTCTACGGCAAGATACATTTCAATTTCCAACATCTGCTGACCTTTCATACTTTGACCTCTACCTATGCGAGATTAACGTCACTATTCTTGAATATGAATATTCAAAAGAATTTTATGTTCAAGAAATCTATGAACAGGTAAGTTTTACATTTTTGGAGTGCCAAATATTTTTTTTACCATCAAAAATAAGCCTACTTAAAGCCCACAAATTAGTCTAGAAAAATGTATTAAAATTTGTAAAAATGTTGCTCCAGGATTGTTGAGGAAAATTCGTTTTGAAAACCAGGAATGTTTATTTTGCATACCCTATGGGTTGATGTCATCCATGGTTTTGTCTTTTATTTTTGCATATACTGATCCAACTAACAACAGACCCTGGAACACACAAATTGGTTGCTTCCTTTAAATATATATGTCCGACTTTCTTTTGTCTGATTTGTTAGCCAATCAGGAATGTCAATCTAAAACCATTCTTGTAGTACTGTTTGTTACACTGGTTCTGATTGGCTGTTGGTATTTAAAGATGTAAATTTACATACACAGTAGGTCAGATATTTAGCCAGAGATTGTTGCATAACAGTAAGACACTTTTACCTCAAAATGGAGACTTATATCTTCAAATCAAGAAAATTCACATGATCTGAAGATAAATGTAGGACTGATTCACAAAAATTACTTGATATGAAGATATTTTTCAAGTACCAAAATATATAAGCAATTTACGACACAAATATTTATAACATCCCAATAGCAAACTATACATTCATATCGAGGCTTACTGATAATAAAAAGAAAATCTCATGTTTTTATTTCATACAAAAAAATATTGGACGACTATCTCCTATTATGTTAACACCTGGAGAATTTATTGGCATATTTATGAAAAATAAGGTCTTTTGTCCTGGATATACTAAAGTGGGACTAAGTGACTCCTTGTTCGCAGATAATCTACTCACCTTGTTGATACACATACAGTACATAATGAATATAAAAGTCCCCGATTTCAACAATGTCATGGGAGAAAAATTGCAGCTTGACTGCTGTTGATGATGGGTGATAAATCATAAAAAAAAATATTTATTATTTTGACCTATTTATTATTGTTGTTTGTGCAGAGTATCAAGATCGAACAAGTATTGGCGGGAGGCTACCCTGCACCAAGCGGAGAACCGTTTGATTGGCAAACTTATTTTGAGTCGATGGAGAAATATTACGAATCCCAAATGAGGATGCAGAGCATCATGATGGACATGATAGCGTACTATAACCTCTCCGTTGTCATGGAAACTTGGACGCCGATGTATGAGAATGTTGAATATACAGCAAATACAACTTTATTTGAGTAAGTCGTACCCTGCTCTCTTTAGAGATGGTTTTATAATAACAGTACTGACATGGAAAAGCTGTACAGTGTGATTTTGTAGGGATTTGGAATCAGAATGATGCACAAAAACAATGCCAGACAATAAAATTAAACAACTTATTCTACAGAAAGTCTATAGATCAATTATGTAAGGGTCTTTACAATGTTGGAATTTATTGTACTCCAGTTTTTACAAAGTTACATTGCATATGTTTTACAGAATGATTGGAAATATCGGCAAAATGATGAATTCATCATTCGGTGGATCTGCGATGTATCCAGCTGCTTTTGCTCAACAGATGAGGACACAGACCTTGTTTTTGAAAGCTTTAAACCGCCACTTTGAAATTATGGAAGGTAAGTCAGGCTACTTATTCAACTTTTAAACAATGGTCTATGTTATGATTGTAGTTAATCAAATGCATGCCATTTAACAAACTTTTTACTATTTTAATATAAAAACACAAAAAACATTCATTATTTCATCAGGCATAGCAAACGGTGAGGATGTCTTGAATGGCACTGAGATAACAAAATTCTACACTGGACTTGTAGAAGCCAGAGATAATTTTCCAGCTGTTCTTGAGGCCACCATTAAATCGTTGGTTAATCCTGAAATGGTACGTACAGATTTGTTTTAAAGTGCCACATTATTTATTATTTATCTGAATTATGTGTAAATAAATAAATGTATTTTACAAAGATTTATTGAGACCTTGTGAGATCTAGTGATTGCTGTGCACGCATTCATCGATGCTCTGATGCTTAGAATGATTTGCTTAGGTAAACAGAAATATTGATTATCATCATATTCAAAAATGCAAAACAATGGTACTGCATTTATTCTCCTTATTTGGAAATTTAACTTCCCATTAAAGTAGAATACCAATATTCAAATTGAAATTGTATTCCTTATATAGCAATTCCACTTCTTAATAAGGTGGATGAAACTACATGTACGTTTTAATTAGATATTTTATAGATATGGCGTCCATAGCGTAAAAACAAATGTAACATTGAATATTATGATTGTTGTTTACAGATGCTTGCACAAACTGAACTCATGGCAGCTGGCAATGATTGGGTCACTGCCACAGTTTTCTCCATCTGCCAAGCTGTGGATTACTCCAATGACGATATCACTATGTTCACGGACATCTTTTGCAAAGTAAATTGGACTCTGTTAATAGAAGACATGAAGAAGGAAATGTACCTTAATGAGTTCATTACCATGGTCAGTGGCAACATTATTAATTGTTTGGGAGGGGGAGCGAGGGGGGGTTGGGTTACATAATATGTTTATCTGTTTTTGGAACCCCATGAGGTATTGAATTCACACATATGATCAATGTCAAGGATTCAGATTTTCTTCAGAATATTGGTGATTTAAGCCTTGTTCACATGTACAAGAAAACTGAGTATTATTTTACTGTGTAAAATGATCAGCGTTCAAATCTAAAATCTGTCAATACGGGGGTCGCTTTAATTTCACATTGACAAAAAAAAAAAAACACAGAAAAAATCAAAATCAATTCCCATATTACAAATTATACTGTAACATTTAGAAGAACCAAATCCTGTGTCACTTTATAATTTCAGTTTGCGCCTCACCCACTGACAAACTTTACATATGGATGGAATAGTACAGTGTCAAATTACAGCGTAATTATGCCAGAATTGACTACCATTGATTGGGAAGAGTACTGGTACAACCAAGAAAAACTGAATGAAAACATAAACAACACTATTAATAATATAATCCAGCAGATGTCACAGTACAATACATCGTTTGACAATATGTGGTCAGGAATGTGGGACTATGATTTCATGAATGATCCCTGGCAGATGTAAGTAGAACATAGGAATATCAATTTATTATTTTATTTGTTTTGTTTTTCTTATTTCTACTCACAAATGGTTTTCCTGTGTATCCCAGAAAATTGTTATGTGTAAAATTGCTTTAAATTTGTTTCAATAATATTATTTATTATCTTGGAAGTTTAAACTATAGTAAATTCCTTCTTTCATCAAAATTCATACAATTACCCCTTTGAAAACTATATTTTGATGCAATTTACTATAATTAATCCCTGTTTGGATGAAGTCCGAATCTGTGGATAGATTGTTCTCTGTGATTAATATGTTTCCTGGTATGATCACATTTAAAATTCATATATACATTACATATCTTAGATGACATATGCACGTCCATTCGCTTAAGGTAGAAGCCTACTCATAAATTAAAATACTCAGAATTTATTCATATTGCATTAAACTGCACTCCAAAGGCAATATAAGGATATTGACGTAAAAAAAGTTGGGGGTCACCAGCTTTTTTTCAAGAAATTGATGGTTGTATTTTAGTGGAAAGTCACCATTTTGGCACTATTTTAATGCTTTTACCATAGGTTACTATGGCAGAGATATGCAATATCTCAAAATCTGGTGACATAGGCTGAAAAAAATCATATATTATTAATGAAGGAGTACTTTTTGTTGTTCTGAATTATTTAAAAAATTGGGGTTTTAAAAAGTGTCAAAAAATGCAATTTTTCTTTAACATTGTGTTCTATGGAATTTTTCTAAAAATAGCAATTTTCAAGAAATATTAGGACACGTTTCTCAAAAAGCTTAACTGTAACACACAAAATAATGCTATTTCATTGTACCATGGGACATTAGCTTCATGATTGTACATAATAAACTAATGAACATTGTCATGCGATTTATGACCAATTTTGTCAACAATTGTGACTTGGCTTCTCCCTTAATGATGTGATTCAAGTTAGCTGAATGGTAGCCATTTTTGTGCCAAAAATTCACCAAAATCTATTATTTCCACCATTTTTGTATGAATGGGTTTTATTCAAGCTTGGTAAATACATTGAACATTATGGGAGCTTGATGCACCTCATTTTGTTTTTCATATCGGATTCAAAATGGCTGACTGGTGGCCATTTTGTTTTCATGAATTCTGCTCCCGAGCTTTATCCATATCATGTCCAATCAAAATTTTACAGAAAATAACTATTAATAAAAATCTATAGAACATTTTTTGAAGGTTTTTACGATGTTGGACTATCCATAGATGAATGAAAGTAAGAACTGATTGTAGTCTAGGTTACATAGTATTACATTGCATATGTTTTACAGAATGTTTGGAAATATCAGCAAAATGATGCAGTCAGCTTTTGGTGGGTCTGCGATGTATCCAGCAGCTTTTGCTCAACAGATGAAAACACAGACCTTGTTTTTGAAAGCTTTAAACCGCCACTTTGAAATTATGGAAGGTAAGTCAGGCTACTTTAATAATTAAACTTTTAATAATTAACTTTTAAACTATTATTGATCTTCATGAAAAAGTATGAATCAGTGTTCAAAATAAGTACAGAGTAATAATTATAAACTCTTAGTAGCTGCTGATATGGAAAGTAAAATAAATAAATTGGCCAAATCGAGCATCTGTTATATCATATCACTTCATTGTAAAATGACTAATTTTCACTGGGTTTAAATTTCACTGATTTACCATTTCAGGACAATTCAATAGGTTTATCATTTAGATAATTTGTTCTAAGCTAAATTTTACATATTCACTGGGTTTTAATTTAGCGCATTTTCCAGTCAGAGTAATAAGCAAAAATAAAACCCAGTGAATAATCAACCCCTTTACAGTGGACTTCTTTCCTGGTACTTGATGCTGTCATTATCCCCATTGACTAGAACATGTCATTGGTTTGTTAAATTAACATATTGAGTACTGGTCTCATTGCAACATTTAATTTTGAGAAAAAGCATGCTTGTTCAATGCGATAATATAAAATATAAAAACCTCTGGATCTATGAATGAGTCAAGATATGTGTGAAAAATACGCTGTCAAGGAGATTGCAAACTTTTCACACAAGATTTAGTTCAGAGCTCCAAGGCAACAAGGAAATTGAGGAATTTGATATATATCAGCCTAAAACCACCCAACTTTGAATAAAACTCAAAAATCTGTTGAAATGAATCATCAATAACCACTGGACTATGGAAAATACAAGTTGGAAACAATCACACAATATTTACTTCCTGCTTATGAGAAGAATACTTGTATTACATGAAAAAGTAACATAAGTTCTGGATTAAATTTTAATTGATTTTGCCATATTGGGGTGTTTTTAAGCTATAGACTATATTTAACAGAAATCTTAGTATTTAAAAAAAAACATTCATCATTTTAACAGGCATAGCAAATGGTGAGGACGTCTTGAACGGCACAGAGATAACAAAATTCTACACTGGGCTGGTAGAAGCTATGGAGAATTTCCCAGCCATGTTGGAGGCCACCATTAAATCATTGAATGATCCTGAAATGGTATGTAAATATTTGTGTTGGAGTGCCACGTTTCTTGCACAATGTTTGTCTGTATTATGTGTAAATAAATAAATGTTTTTTACTCTCACTGTGAATGTTGCAGAGGACCAAGGATATATAAGAGACAGGGTTTTAACTCTGCTGTAAACGAAATGTACTGTATGTGCCGTACTCCTTATTTGGAAATCCCACTTCCTAATAAGATAGGATACTGATATTCAAAATGAAACTTACTCCTTATATTGAAATCCCACTTCCTATTAGGTACAGGGGTTCTTCCAGACAGGGGAACAGGGGCGCAGCGCCCTCATACACTGGGTTTGCGCCCTCTTACCGAACCTTGAACAGTAAGCAGATTATGATCAGTTATAACAGTGTTACCATAGTAACAAAGGTGTGCTCCCTCTTAAAATTTTTTTTTAGAAAAAACCCTGAGGTAGCCTAAAACTACATTTACTTCTTAATTAGATATATTATATCCCCTAATAAGGTACGGCGTCCATAGCGTAAAAACAAATGTAACATTGCATAATATGATTGTTGTTTACAGATGCTTACACAAACTGAACTCATGGCAGCTGGCAATGATTGGATCACTGCCACAGTATTCTCCATCTGCCAAGCTGTGGATTACTCCAATGACGATATCACAATGTTCAGGGACGTCTTTTGCAAAGTAAATTGGACTCTGTTAATAGAAGACATGAAGAAGGAAATGTACCTTAATGAGTTCATTACCATGGTCAGTGGCAGCATTATTATTTATTTGGGAGAGGGAGGGGGGAGGGGGGGTGTTTATGGTAACACATCGTCTCCTGATGCCGTTTTTATCCCATACATTTTGGCTTTCTGTGGAGGCTTTTAGCAGGCAGAAAATCTGTTCGAATACCACAAAGTGTTGAATGTACGCATATGATCAACATTTTCACTAGAATACTTGTAGTGTAATCTGTGAGATTAAATTTCTTCTTCTCACAAAAATTTCATTATTATTTGTAAATTTCATATTAATTTTTCGTTTGAATCTAATAAATTTAACTTTTTTTTTATAAGATAATGGTATCATGATTGTAAAAAGTCTATCATCGAAGGAGCTCCTGCTCGATTATTGGCTCCCCATCTAACAAATGAGACTTTTATTTGGAAATGGGAGTGCTTTCATAGACATATTTATCATTGAGGTCGCTTAGTTGAATATATTCTGAAAACATTAGAATATGCCGTTTTGTAAAAAGCCGTTTAAGCACTCATTTGAACGCTCATTTTTTTTTTTCGTTAACTACATCACCAACATTGGTTCCAGGTTATTGACGTCACATTTGGACATATTTCTTTGTTTATATTGGATGCAGATATGCTATCCTCGGGGGCGGAGCTACGTCACGGACGTTCCACGTTGCTACGACACGCAACACTGTACATGCATTTCTACGGGCTCTGTGCGCGCCAGTGAAAATTCAAGAAAACAACACAAACTCAACTTTGAAGTAATCCTGAACAACCAAATTTAGATTTAGAAATTTACACACGTAGGGCTAATCGTGTTATACTGTTCAGGGGAGTCTCAACCACCATCCCAAAGTATCGTTTTCTGTGAGTTTTTGGCCTTTGTTTTCACCGCCAGGGTTGCCAAGCGGTGAAAATGCCGGGATGTCCGCCCCCGAGGATAGTACATGATGGAGTTCATAGGATCGTGCCATTCACAAAAACATTTGCATGATTTTTGCTGTCACTTTAGGCTATGATCTCTCAATAAATTATTAGTACAAGTCGAGAAAAGATTATTATAATATAATAAGGTTATCACAAGAATACCGCAAAGTATACACTCAGGCGGTATGCTACACATTAGTTGATACAATCACGGTACCGCCTTTATGCATACTTCGCTGTATTCTCATGATATCCTAATGTTTTCACAAATAAGCGCAAGTTGTTGGAAAAACTGAATAAAAAAACATGCCCATCTAACAAATATTTGACGGTTACTGGAAATACCAAATTTTGTTTGTCCTAATGTGGCAAATATAGTACATTGCAAATATTCATCTGTATATAAACCAAATCCTGTGTCACTTTATAATTTCAGTTTGCGCCTCACCCACTGACAAACTTTACATATGGATTGAATAGTACAGTGTCAAATTACAGCGTAATTATGCCGGAATTGACTACTGTTGATTGGGAAGAGTACTGGTACAACCAAGAAAAACTGAATGAAAACATAAACAATACTATTAATAATATAATCCAGCAGATGTCACAGTACAATACATCGTTTGACAATATGTGGTCAGGAATGTGGGACTATGATTTCATGGATCCATGGCAAATGTAAGTGGACATATTTGGCATATTCAGAAATTAATTTTTATTTAATTAGTTAGTTATTTTAGTTTTTTTTTTGTATTTTATCACCAAAAAGGTTTTCACCGCTCACTTTTACCTAAGTGAAGTTGCTTTTAATTGAGATTAATACAGTCCACACATTATTAATAGTATTAATTGAGGAATATGAATCTTAATTAATTTTTATGTAATTACAAAGACCTATTATTCCTAATTGTTTTCTCTTTTGTCAACCTAGTTTAATTTTGGTGTGACTCGCAAGTATATATTTTCAAGATATGTTAATTTTTTGGTGAAAATAAAACTTTTATTAGACATAGAAATAAGTGGATAGAATAAAGACATTATACCTCTGATAATGTGAACCAGATGTTAGTCATATACTTTCCAAGATCTGTTTAGTAAATCAGTGTCGTAAACCAATATGTTGTTTTCATTATGTAATAGAATTCATTTTTACCACCAAAAAAGTGACAAATATAGTTCACCTTTTCCCCATCATCCCATTGGCCAGTAGTTTTCCTTGTCACATTTTTTATTAGATGCGTGTATATTTCTGTACAGTGAAACAGGACGAAATATGATTTATGACATCATATTTTTGTAAGATATATCTGGGGCCAGTATGTTTTTCCAACTTTAGAAAAAATGTAATATATAGATATGTAGTAGCATTGTAACCAGGGAGGATAAATTTGTCTCGTAAATTTGGGTAACATTAGTGCTGGTATTTGTGATTTTCATGAAATTATGTATTTTACTTTTTTTGTAACTATGTGGTTTTCCATTTTCTCGTAGAGTTGCAGCTACGCTGCGTACATATGAAGAGACCCCTGAATGGTCGTTTTATGGTCCTATATTTAAAATATCGCACCTATTAATGGATTCAGTGAATGCATTATTTGAGATAATTAGAAGTGAGTAAATGAATAGTAAACCATTTAAACGTCAGTCTTTTGTCACTTTTTCCAAAATAAACTAAAAATACATATTTTGTTCATATAGAACTCTGCGTGGCAGATTGATTTGAATGATCTAGCATATAATTTGCTTTATATGCTTATGATGGAGATTTTCTAACACCAACAGCGAAAATTAAACATGGCCGAAAAAAAAATATAATTATGTACCGGGTAGTTGTCCAGCAGGACGGCTATACCATGGAAGGTACTAACGGAAGGAGCCACGACGCCTATCAAGTGACCACTTAAGCCTCTTAACTGGCTTATTTCCTTTTGTTTCAACCCAAATTAATCCTGATATGGACATTGTATAGCTCATCTTTGATGTCGATGATAGTTTGCGATTGTTTACACAAGTAACGAGGTAGCGGAGTATGATACAACCCCGCCATTTTTTTAATGTGACTATAAAATATATGCGCATTATGAAACTACGGTCATCACACATGTGCACTGGGTTTGTTTAGGTGTGAAGGGTCAAAATACGTATTTCACAACCGGAAATTTAACAGATGAACGTTTGACTTCACAAATTTCACATATTTTAATGATTAGCAATTGTAACTAGAACAAGATTTCGAGTGTCTACAATAACAATTCCTAAGGACTCCTAAACAATATTATCACAGAGAAAGTGTCTAGGCATGCTCTTCTTTCGATACTATCTTTTCTGTTGGTGTTCGCCGATGTCCGGTGGTCAAAAATGTCGACAGTTTCGGGCGCGAAACCCACGCACTGTTATATCTGACAATTTTCCATTAAAGTTCGCCAAGATCTCCAGAAACAACAGCATTCAAACTAGACGCCATTTTCAATATTGTACATGCGAAGTTCGACTATCGCTTCCGAACATGCTCCGAATATTACCGAATGCTCGAGATTAGCATAACCCATTGTACGAAGGTGTTAAAAGCTAACAAGAACAATGTTTGTGAACAAACATTGACAAACGATCATGGGGTAAAGCTAAAACAATAGCGTCGTGGCTCTTTCCGTTAGTACCTTCCATGGCTATACCAAGACCAACTTCACAAAAATATCATCTGAATAATTTTCGGTAGCTATAAATTACATTCGTGAAAGTCATCAACTATATTTTGAAGAATGCATGATTTTGATTATTTTTCCCCTTGTTTTATTTTTCTAGCTGATTCTCTCAATGACTTGGATATTGAAGTTGGGAATAACACCAAATTATTTATTGCCGGATGTCAGGAAATGATGAACTACTTCCCAGACATTTTACAAGTAGTACTTGAAGCATTTTATGAACCAATGAAGGTATTTATTTATTTGTTTTTTTTGATTGTTTGTTTTTTTCATTTCATGACAATAACTAATAAATCTTCTAATTTTATTTTTGTTATTTTTGGTATAAAATGCTATTTTGGACTTTAATTTTTTAAAATGGCTATATTGCCATGATATTCCTTACACATTATGCATCTCAAACAGCAGTTCTACATTTGTATATCAGTCAACAGGCTGCTGGTTTGTTTATTTATTTATTTTTATATTATGAATGTTATCAGTTTGTTTGTTCATTATTTATTTATTTATTTATTTATTTATTTATTTATTTATTTATTAATTAATTAATTAATTAATTAATTTATTTATTTATTTATTTATTTATTTATTTATTTATTTATTTATTTATTTATTTATTTATTTATTTATTTATTTATTCGAGTGTTAATTTGTATCAGTTTGTCCAATTATTGAATCACAATACTTTCTTTACAGGTTATGCAAATTACATCTCAGTTCGGACTAGAGCTCTTCTGTGATAATGAAACAAGAGATACAATCTTTGCATTTCCCTCTTCTATGAACACTTCCTTCCTCGATGACTACTTCTGCAAAATCAACTACACAAATTTATTAGAAGAAAATGGATATGAAATTGGAATGGAGGTATGACGACGTTATCTTATTCATTGCTAGTATTAATTGTGAATCTCAGTTACAATAAGTTCGAATTCATATACTTTTACATATGCTTTTCACTTTTGCATTTTCTATGTAGATTTAAACAAAGCATTCAGCTTAGGGAAGGGGGGCTTTTTGTCTGTAAAATTAATGAGAACTGAAAACCCCATATCATTCAAAGACACATTTTTGTTGATTTTAATATATCCTGATCTAGAAATAGAATGACCAGTTTTTGCAACTGTGCAAGAGTTCTGCATATGTCTCAGTACCTTGAAAACAAACACTTGCATCTTTGGAACATTTTCACTGTGTTTTATTCATTGCATCGCAGGAAAAATGTACATTTGCATAACACAATCAAAGAACTAATTGGTGTTCTTTTTACAGAGTGTGTTTTATCAGGTATTAACTTGAAATATGTTAGAAATAGTTGAGTAAATGTTAATCTCATTAAATTTAATAGATAGACTTCCACACCGTTCAGCTGCTAAACAATGAAACAAAAGTGGTATAGAAAGATAATGAGAGTATTGTTTGGTTTCACCACAGAAACTGATTATGTTAATGTATTTGATATTTTTTTGCTATAATTCTGATGCATTCTTGGTAATTATTCCCAAAAATTACTTGTTTATTCTAAAATATCATGCTGAAAACAATCAATCCACTTTTAGAGTATAGAAAATAGACATCCATTTAATGAAAAAAAGAAAAATAATTTAAAAAACATGACTTTTATAACTTTGTTGCACAGACACATCCCTTACCTTTTTCATGGAAGCACCCCCTTCCCGTTATGCACGTCAACAAATTTGTGATTCCTAATATAAACAGACATGATGCTTCGAGACGATTCTCAAAAAAACTGTTATAATTATGTTTACAGATAGGGAAACTGATGATGTTGTATTCCGATGGGCAAGCTAATATAACTGATACATTGATGGACTGGGAAGGTTTCACCAAAACTATGCAAGAATTCAATGACAACATACAGTTATTTAAGAATGAAACTGTGATGAAGGTGATGTCAGAGTACAACTGGACGGAATTATTTCATGTGTTGGAGTCAGCTTTGTACAATTATGAAATGAATTATGGAGTTGGTACTGATGGGTAAGTAATGAATGGATTGATATTATTGACATATGGTAAACATGTCTCTTGCAGTGACTTTACCACATCCCAATCAAAATTTCAATAGCGAAATCTTTTTTGAGTAAAATCTGAAAATTGACTCAAATTTTGTCTGTTGGCTCCAAAATTAGGATTCATTGAAACATTGAAGAATATAAGAAAAAAATTGCAGACAAATTTGGGCAAGAAAGTCTGGTGGTGAAAATGTTAGACTCTTTCCATGCATTCCAATTATCCCTAGAATTAACTAATTAATTTTTGTATACACCAATCTTCATAGTGTTGAAAGTCAGTCGCCATTTTTAACCTTTCCACTGTACCATGTATTTCTATGAGCTCTGTACGAGCTGCTGTAGAACACAGGCTGAAGAACTGGAGAAAACAGCTAAAGTCACAAGGAAACATCACAAACTTAACTTTAAAGTAATCCTGTGCAACCAAATTTGTTCAAGAGAGTCTTGCCCACTTGTTTCTGGTTACCAGGCAGTGTGAAAATGCCTAGATGTTTGCTTCCAAGAATATTTAAAATTAGTTTAACATTCCAAGGTTTGTTTGTTTCAGGTTTTTACGAATCATAGCTCAGCAAATGACGATCATTGATGGAACTTTGGGTAATGACAATATGGTATGGAACAGTGTTAAAACCTCCATCACTATGAACCATATGGTGTACAAATACATTAACACAAAGATGAATGGCATTCTGGGTAAGTTGTTTTAAGAACAGATCAACATTTTGCTCTTTATATTAATTTATTTTAATGTTTCATTCTTTTAAAATGTCAAAACACATCTGGAATATCGACTGAGAACTGCTATGTGAATATCTGCAATATTTAGTGCTTACAGGGATTTCATTTCACTCATTTTGAGTTTTAAATTCATGGATTTTCCCAGTAACACAATTATCACATTTACACTAAGGCAATTTATCAGAGTCTGACAGGTGTACGAGTCAGCAAAAATGATCATGAAAAATTATCAAGAGCCCCCAACTTGGCTCCAATAAACCCTGACCACCTAAACGAGAACTCCCAGTTCGAATCCAATAATGAGGCTTTAACAGTAAAATAGATAAACCCTGTTATTTACATTGGTATGAGGGAAACAAGACATCGATATCATCCTGGTGCAAGCTGTCAATTTAAATTAAGCCAGAATATAGTGTAGGATTAAAACAGTATTTACGTAAATGCTGACAAATCAGTAATCAATTTTGATTATAAATAAACTAACAAATGATTTTATTATAATTCAATTCAGAAAATGGTCTAACATTGGAAGAGGTATATGGAAATGGAACTCTGTACATTGAACTAATGAGACAGACATCAAAATTCATGCCAGATCTAATGGAAGTCATGATGACGATGGCTATGCAACCTGGCAAGGTGAGGTCACCCCCTTTCAAAACCATATTTTTTCCCCACCAAAATTTTGGTGCAAGATTTCTCACACTGTTTTTTTTATATTTTTTATCATTTTTTGAACCAGACATACTTTCTTATTGGCTGCAGCGAATAATTGTGTAAGTTTATTTTGTGAATGTTGACAGATAGAAAATTATGTCCGTCTGGTTCAAAATCAACAAAGAAATTTGCATAATTTTGCATAATTTTTGAATGGGAAAGTTGAAGGAAGCAGGATTCTGCTGTCATCACGCAGTAAATAATGAAATGTGAAAATGCTCAGTAAACCTTGATGCAACTGAATTCAATACACCAGCTTGACTTGTTTCATCTCTATTTTAGATGGCACTATTTACTCAGATGGAAGACTGGAATACGACACTTTGTGATTCTGAGAAATTGCAGGAAATGTTCAACTTTCCTGTCAGTGTTAATATAACCGCTGTGACCAACATAATATGTGACTGGAGTACATTTGATTATTTGGCTGAGGTACTTGAAAATGAAGAATTTTCGGAATTATATGTACAGGTATGATAATATAGCTTACTTCTGTGGTGCTGAAAATCGTATTTTTGCTGCGAAGATTTATTTGTTTCCATTCAGACAAAGTCTGAAAACGAGAACTTATGTGTATGAATCTCTACCTGCAACTCTGTATCTCAGACATGCCTCGACTGATCACCCTCAAACTTCACACATATATCATGTATCTTCGAATATATTAAGCTCGTTCTAAGATGGCCGAATGGTGGCCATTTTTGTGCTAAAAATTCATCAAAACAAGCATTTCTGCCATTCTGAAACCAGATCTCGATCATGAGATGGAATTTGTTGAACCTCTGTATATACATTATGGGACTTTGATGCACTTATTATTTTTTTCAGATTGGATTCAAAATCATGACTGACTGGCCATGACCGATCATGTTCAAATGTCATATGTAAATCATAGATCATGTTGCACATATGCACATGTATTTATTTTACAATCCAATTCATTAGTTCTAATGACCAATATATTTCTTAAACTTGATGCAATTACTTGACAATGTGTAATTAGGAAATTTTCACTGTGATTTTCAGTGACCCAAGAAATTTGCATTTACATAACTTTACATTTGTATTTGTTCAATTTCTTTAATTATTTCATAATTTGAATTATTCCATTTTTCAATGCAGCTTGAAGACCTGTATTCTCCAAATGTAACACTGGTTGAGGTGGATTGGTATGATTACTTCAAAACAATGGAAGAATACACCATGAACATAGAGAGGATGGCAAACTTCACAGGGCCATTCTTCCCATCGTTACCAGTCATGTCCGTCAATGATACGTTGTGGATGCAAGATTTAATGGCAGGATTACAACTATCATCCATCAACCAGTAGGTGTTACACTATAATATACTGAGTATATACGATATGTTAAGTGTTTACTGATGGTATAAATGTTGTTAAATGATCTTACTTAAGATTAGACCTGTAGTTCAAATCACTTGGCTATGTAAGTTCCAAACAATTAGATCTGTTTTTGGTCTGCATGCACATCAGTTTAAGAGTTTATTTTGCATATTTGAAAAAAAAATAAAAGAAAACAAAACAAACCAAAACAAAAGATAGAAAGAAAGACGCCGCCTGGTGGTGTACAACTCTATTTTGCATGCCTGGAATGTAGGAATGAAATATTCTCAATGACGTACGCAGGTTAACTATTGAAATGCTAAGTTCAAAAATTATATCTTCATTTGGCTTTGTTGGTGTATTGCCCACTTCAACGTTACTACAAGCGTTTGGTGGCCTCGCATTCATAAGGTGCTGGAGATCATTAGAACTTTGCGTTGAGAAAAAAAAAAACATCATCATTTTTCAAGATCTTTGGAGCACAGATGCATCTTTTTTTTTACATTATATGTAAACTTGTGATATAAAAATTGTTAATATTATACACATATTGTATTTGTAGAATTCCAGAAATGTTGACAGTGATTGATTACATGCTTAGCAACTCAACATGGTGGCAGGAGCTCTCAAAATACATGGAAATCAGTAATATTATTGTTGAATCATTGAATGAACATTTGATGAAACTGAATGGTAAGTCAAATACAAATCGTGACATCAATAATGTTGCGAACCATCACTGCATGTTCTTGAAATTGTTGAGTTAAAACACCTTTCTGTTTTTGTTTTTGCACTTTCTACAGGCTCTTCAGTGGTTTATCCCAAAGTTGAAAACCTGTTTGCGGATAGGGAGGAAGTCATCAAAGTTCTAGAAAGTAATAATATGACCCCCGAGCTCATGGAGTTTTTCATGAATCTACTTGTGTACCCTGAAAAGGTAAATTGCTGATGAGTTCTTAAGCTGGGAATTCTTCAGATGCGTACGACTATGAGGTTATTACGAAAATATGAGTGAAGGCAGTACGGTGATTGAGCCACTGACATGTAGCAGATGTTGATGCAGGACTGTACTGCCTAAGTACTTATTTTGCGATACTCTCATGATTAGCTTTGATTCTTTGGTTTGCTTTATGAAGAAAGTTTGCTCGGTGATCTGGGTTGAAAAGTGCAATGTATTTTTGAACATATTACTGCACGTTTGATAGGCAGGGCAGACTGAAATGCTGATTTATACAGTTGACTCCGGGAATTGAACCCACAACTTTGGAGTCTTTGGATGCGAGGCAAATACACAAATCACTATATCTGGTTACTGTGCTGTCACTTCTCGTATCTCAAGTCACAGAAAATAAAATTCAAAGATTGGACAAATTGTAAGACATTATAATTCTATCTTTCAGCTGATCCAATTACTTGTTATACCCGATCCGTTTGTCACAATATGCAAGAGTGGTATGTTCCAGGAATTCTTTACCCTCCCTCCAGAATCAGACCTTAATATAACCGTCGTGGAAGACTACATATGTGACATCAATTTCACAGTTGTTGCCATGGAGCTCGGCCAGATGTTTGAAAGTGATAGAATCATGAATGAGGTAATGTGAGATCTCAATATGTGTTAGTTTGCATATTAGTTTGTTTTGCACTTATGTCTTGTTTGGCAGTCATTTGTTTTGTGTTCTTGGACTTGTAGTTTATTCCCTATTCACGTTACACAATGTGGATAACGATTGGGTATGGAATTATTTCTACTTTTCATGAAATAACTGTTGAAATGTTTTTGATAATTTTCTTTTATTTTTTTGTAAATTCTTTGTAATTTTGGACTGAATGAGCTTTAATAATATACAAGTCTGAATGCAATATGGTTGAGAACATGTAATTTTCAGTATTACTAGTATTGTTGTTATGTACTGTATGTTGATAAATACATTGCATTCTGATTTATGATGCTTTAAACACTTTCTTGTTGCGCATAACATAACATGATTATTTGTTTGATAAAACAATGTGGTTGATTTTTAGCTCCGCTGTTGACTTTGTCAAGTGGAGCTTATCATATCAGTGATTGTCCGTTGTCGTCAGGTGACGACCATCGTCTGTGTCAACTTTTTACTTTTTCGACTTCTTCTTGAAAACTACAATTCTTATTGCCTTGATACTTAGTAAATATGTACCTTGGGCAGACTGGCTCTCTTAGATTTGTTCATTTTGTGATGATATCTTTGATTCTCTAATTTTGAGGAATATTTTTGTCTTTTTTGGTAAACGTGATATTTTCGACTTCTTGTTAAAACCGCAAGTTTGATTGCTTTGATACTATACATATAGGTACCTAAGGTAGACCTCTCTCAGATTTGTTTATTTCGTGATATCTTCAGTTCTTTAATTGAAATGTGCATTTCTAACAGCGGAACTATCTTAGCCGAGAGGCTGCTTGTTTTGGTATGTACAATATGAGGTTATTACGCGTATACTGATATGTTTGTAAATTGCACAGTTTCTTAAGTGTACTAACATAGTAAATACAGTGATACAATTTGGTCATCAAGATGCAGTTTCAAGCAACAATTATGAATAATAACAAATATGTGATTTTGTTCATATTACATTTTTAGTATTTTTGTCATGAATAAAATATAAAAATTGCTATGGATTTATTTTGTGAAATCTGAATATAGTGTTGAAATATTAAATATTAATTAATTCAATTTTGATACTAATGTGTTTCAGATACAAGATATCTTGGAGTCACCGTATAAAACATTTAACTGGACAGAGTATTTCATCAATAACTACAAACTACAAGAAACCATCCAGAATTTGTTTGATTTCCCGCCAACTTTCACCTTTGACCCTGCATGGATGAACGCAACATTTCCTCGATTGGAAGAAGTGTTAGGTAGTTTCATGGAGACGATGAACAACAACCAGACTGCCCCGATAAACTATTACTTGTAAGTTAAAGATGTTGTACGTACACTCTTCAGTGGTATTTATGTGGTTCATTACGTAGCGTTAAAAAGCGGTTGCCCAAGTGTTCAAGCACTTCCTTATTGCAGCAATTTTTTCAGGTTACATATCTAGTAGCACTGTAGTCAGCATCAACTTTACATTTTTGACTTTTTCAAAATGAAAAGTCCGCTCACTATGATGCTTTTTATATATTTACTTTTGAATGGACCTCTCTCAGATTTGTTTATTTCAGAATGATATCTTTAAATCTCTAATTTCGATGAATTGGTAAAAAGTGCTGTTTGTTACTTTTTCTTGAAAATGGCTAGCCTGATTGCTTTTGATGATTTATATGTAGACACCTCAAGTGAACCTTAATCAGATTTGTTTAATTTGTAATACTTCAATTTTAGTGAATATTTTTGCTTGCACATTGTTGAGAAAGTCAAAAATATTGTGTAAACTTAGACCAGCACATATTGTTGGACTAGCAAGAATTTTCTAAATGTCAAGAGTTGTCACTCATTGTTGTACAATACATTGTGCCTTTAATTTCATCATTTCATCAATAACATTATGCTCGCTTGGTACAAGTACAATGTTCAGTATCTAATTGCTACTCTGTTTTGTTTACATCACTCAGGGCTGCTAAGATGTTGGATGAAATGGGACCGATGCTACAAAATTCCAGTGTCTGGGAAAGCATCAGACCTATGCTGGTGACGCTGAACTGGTTGGCGGAATACATGAATGAGAAGTTAGACAACATGCCAGGTGTGTAAATAAGTATCAATAAATTGTTGACTTAGCGACAAAAACTTACTCTGAGATGAAATTGTATGATGTGTGGTCGGCAGATATACACTGTATAATAAATGACACATAATCATGGTAAGTGTGATGTCAGAATGACGAAAATGGGTCATAGAAGTTTGTCTTGCTGGTGCTTCAGAAAATTACTCACATCGTCTGTTGTCATGGCAACTTATAATCATTGTTTGATTATAACATATATTGATTGTTTGATATTTCATGCCTCCACTCTACTAGACAATGTATTTTTATAACACGTCCGTCATCTACTTTTTGATTTGCAGATGGCAATCTCACATTCGCCGATATTTTGCCGGGTAGTATTGCTGAGTATGTGGTTAATGGTATGAATGTCCCTCCACATCTCGTACAGAGTGTTTTAGAGTCAACCGTAAATCCTGATATGGTTAGTGTCTTGATATATACATGTGCTGACAGAATCACTTTAACTTCCCATGGAAGTGCAGTGTTCATGCCAATTTGACATTGAGTGATTTTCTATTTTGCTCTGGGAAAGTCAAGTAAAATATTAATATTGTTTAACTTAAAGTTGCATTGTTGAAAGCCTTTTCAATTTTGAGTAATTTAGATAAAAATTGAATCTGAAATATTCATTATTCCTGATTTACAAACCTGACGCATTTTTATTTATTGTCTTCACTGCAATGAATCCTATCATACATTACTTTTTAACAGGACTGATTTTGTAGGGGTCGTGACATAAAATTGAATTCCTCAAAGTCAAATTGAGCTTGTTGACTGCTGGGGAGGTCCTGATTTCCTTCATTTAAACTGATTTTGTTTACAAATTGTGAATTTCATTTTACCAAATTACAAATAACTATATTGAGATGTTTTTTAGGATTTCAATAACACACTAGTGAATTAGCATGACAAGTTGCATCACCGAAAATCAGTGTGCCTCAGTGGCTCATCGTTTCGGCTTAAAAGGCCTTTATGCAATTTTACCAATCTCTGTTAAATTCAGCAATTCAACTTATATGTAACACTTGTTCTTTTGTTCTCAGTTGCTTGCCTTGGTAATGGATGATGATCTATTTCAAACACTTTGTGGCAACGAAACAGTATTAGATAACTTGTTTGAATTTCCAGAAGAGGTCAATGTGACTGTCTTACGAGAGGCTCTTTGTGCCATCAATGAAACCGTTTGGGAAGCTGAATTAACTAATGATCTTAAAATACAAGAGTTGATGGCCTTGGTAAGTATGTTTCTCTGGTAATCTTTGATTTGTTCAGTCACGCACAATGTAGCATGTTTCAGTGGCATCAATATTAATTGCGTAAGTTGAGAGGTGAACTCTCTCTCACTCTGACCATGGCTGTCCGAATGTGAAGGACATACTTAAAAATGTCTCATAGTTTGGCATGCAATCAATCATAAAATTTATGACTATGAACTTGACTTGTAGATCAGTGTTGTGTTTTTTATACTTAATAAACAAAGTGAACGATGAACCATTGCTGATTCGACCATGCACAACCATTTGCGTACAACAATTGTGACCATTTGCCATGGCCACAACAGTCATCATGGCTCCTGTTTGATATCTTACTCTCCCCTTATAAGATAAGAAAAGATAATTCTTTATTACAACCATATTGAAAGAAATTTAATTTAGGTGAATACAAATGTAATAAAGTAATACAAATGTAATACAAATGTAATACAAATGTAACAAATGTAACAAACTATTCTTAAAACTATACTTATCATAAAGATACAGTAAAGAAATATTACTGGTACTTGAAGATAAAAATTAAAATATTACATTTCCACGAGTTTTTGTTTAACATTGACAATATTGTTTTCTTGTCCTATATGATGTTTTTATGTGTATTTAATTAATTCTTTTATCAATGGTCTGTTCTCAGCATTTAAAAACTAAACAAGTTTTTCTGTATTATTTGCTTGAATAATACAGATAATCTTATTCTGGCCTCAGTATAAAGACTACATGATGTGAAAAAGTTTAGTATATACTTATTTAATGAATTATTCTCATTGAATAGCTAGAGCCTGGGAACCAGACTCCTTTCAACTGGACAGTAATGTTCTTCAATCTTGTTGAACTTGCTCAAAATATTGGAGAGGTCATGCAAGAGCAGAAAACCTTTTTCATTGGTGAAGAATGGTTTCAAGACAATGTTGGTATTTTAGGAGAGATGTTTTTGTCTCTGGATATGACTGCACTTAGTGCACACATGGGCAGGTAAGTCCATCCAATATATGAATTCCGTGTTACCTGGCTGCTCATCTTCTGTGTATACAAGAGGTTCGATTGCGTAAACGGAAATGAATAAGTACTGCATTCAAAATAGCAACTCCATGGAGTACAGTATGGTACACTACGAATGAAAATATGCAAGGACACTAGAAAAAAACATTCTGAGGTGTAAACTCATACTTATTATTAATATTTCTAGAAATGTTCATTTCTCATGTGACATTCTGATCATGATCTTGCAATTTGCATGATTTATCTCTCATCAGTAACCATGGTGATGTTAGCAGTATACACACTCATGCATACTGAGTTAAAAACTGTACTTGTAACATTTGTTGTTGTTGTTGTTGTTGTCTGAATAATTTGATATATTTACAACTTTGTAGCAATGGAATTCTGGACACCCTAATGATGATGATTAATGGTAACGACACTGCAATAGTTGAAGATATTCTCAGAAACATACATATGCAAAGTAGTGTTTTGAATTTTGTGAATAACAAGCTGGACGACCTCACTGGTATGATATACAAGTTTGTTTTACTTGCGATTTGATCTCCCATGCTCAAAGATTGGGAAATTCAAATATATTGACATACTGATATTTTCAATAGTTTTCGTCTTGATTGCAAGATCTGAAAACGTAACTTTAGAATTTTGTACCATGTGTGAAAACAGTTGAAATATGAAATAAGTGAACAGGTAATTTCCCAATCCCAACTGCGTTGCTTTTCAGTGATTTGTGGTAAATCCTGATAACCAATATTGCCTGAAAAAATTAGATTATATCCAGACTATAATATTTTTAAATAAATTCATCGCTATTCTTGTTTTATTTTATTTTTAATCAAATGAATATTTAATCACAATATTTTTTTATTTTATTTATTATTAAATACTATAGATCAGTTGCCTTCAGGTATAATACAAAATTACATGTTTCAGAGGCCATACTCTAAATGACCTGTGAAATGAAAATATTACTAATCTTGTTATTAATAATGTGCTAGTTTTATGTTTATATCAAGGTGTTTCATCTCTTACATTATTTTTATTTCAGTGAATGATGGTACCTTGAATCTTGCAAAACTTTTCCCAAATTCAACCGTATTTGTGGAGTATCTCGAACGACAAATGTCCTTTGGAGAGGATTTTGTGAATGCAATGTTATTCACACAAGTTAAACCTGAGAAGGTAGATCAGTTATTATACTTACAAAAATCTATAGAAGCTCTGAATAATCTTTTTTTTAAGACATTGTAAAAATTATATCTACAGAATGTAGAGACTGATGACATGGCAGGTATGCACACATGCAGAGTGTTGTGCATCAACACAATCTTACATGCCTTCACTTTTTATGCAATTTTGATTTATGATTCAGAATTATAATTTGCAGTCCAGTGAAGTTTGTATTGACCATTGTTATTTGTACTCATTCAAAATGGCGGTTATCTCCAAATATACCGATGTATTTGAGAGTAAAAATGGTGTGTATCAGTTGAGAGCATGTACTGGTGATACAAATCTTAAAACCCAAATATGGACATTTGTATGTGTGCACAAAGAGAGCAATTTGTCTTTCTAACGTTAGGCAAATTTTTGACCTGCACTTGAACGCAAATGTTCATATTTGATCAGTGTAACAATTGTAATGAATGCCATCATTTCTCCCACCAAAATGGTTCAAAATTTTGCATATATTTATGTATTTTTTCAGTTAATTTTAGACTAAATGGGCATAATTTATAATTGACTGTAGATTATAATTGAAATTTTTGAGAAAAAATTTGAAAAAACAAATTTAATGGTTTATTTTGGAAAAAGTGACACTGGCTGATTTTTGCGGCTGAATAGGTTAAAGGTCAAACGGTAATAATTATATGTTATTTGTCATCAGTTTCTGGAGTTAATGGAAATGACCGACATGGAGAGGAATGAGATGTTCTGTGAGCCTGACCTCTACAACGATTATTTCATTGTTCCAGAATTTGTAAATATAACAGTTGTTATGGAAACAATGTGTGGAATCAATGAAACTGTCTTGTTTATGGATCTATTCAAGGATATGGACATCGCTAGACTTGTTACAGAGGTAAGAAAAGTCTACACTAGTATAACTCACAGTGTTAAATTCCTATCCATCCCTGGTAAGTTCATAATCATTTCAAAGTCAGGTTGGAATCTTTTTTTTTTTTTTCACTAAAAATGTAAGAACCACGATAATACTACATGTATATGTATGATTTCTGTATTCATTTTATGGGTATCCAAATAGGCAACTGCTTTTCATATTTGGTGACCCCGGACAAAACTGGTTTTCTAGAGCCCCTAACCTTATGGTTATTCTCACCTGCATTGCAGACAGGATCTTCCCAAACAGTTTGGAAGATTTTTGTATTATGATCTACCGGTATTTTGTTTATTTCTCTTAACAGCTAACAAGGTATACTGAGGGACTCATCGATTTACAAGATTTCAATATAGCAGAAGTTTTGGCAGAGAATAATAACTTTTACACGGTTATATCAGACAAAATTATGAAGCTTATTAATTCTACCGATGATGTTTACTTTGGAGAGGCCGACTTGTTAAATACTGAACCCTGGAATGTGACAGCCTTGCTTGCCAACTTACAGCGAATGTCAGAGGGTAGTTCTGGAATGCAAATTGATATGTGAGTTGAGTTTACAATTTTCACTGTCAAATTTCTAAGATAAGTGTTTACAGTTTGAATATCCATGTACAGTTATATGCGATGAAGTTTCTATTCTACACAAGTCAAGTTTCATGACAATCAAACATATTTGACATTGCAGAACATACAATGTATATATCAAATGCTTGGAAAACTTTGATTCTGTAAGCAGTACATGTATATGTTGGAGGTTATTGTCATTTTCATGAAGGACAAAAACTTGTAATACTTTGGGAACAGCGTTGAGCACTAACCAGTTTTTTCACAGACTTGCCTATTTGCATTTAATAGTAAATGTATACATTAGTGAACAATTTGCATGATTTCACATTGTGATCTTCGTATATGGCTACACTCATTTTATAAATTTCTGTGTGTGTGTGTGTGTGCGTACTTGCCTACAGCAGCTCCTGGCATCTCATTTTTGAGCAATTTTTCTATCACATCATGAATGTAGCCATACTTTGACACAACTGCTTGAGGGGCCTGCTACCTAGACGCGCCAACCCATAATTGTGTATGAGAGTTTTGGGTTATGTGAGAAGGAAATGTTAGAGTCACACTCTATTTATTCTGAAGGCATACACTGCTCAGTGGTTCTTGTGCTTTGTACCAGTTGTACATGATACCTCATATACATTGTGCTCTTGAACTATCAAGTAATACATCCCTGTGATTTTTGTCTTCTCTACTAGGATTGGCGACATCATGAATATGGTTGGACAAGAACTTGGGAACAATTCCGTATGGCTGGAAGTACTACGAAACATTCATATTATGGAGTACTTCCTGGATCTTACAGACAGGGGCCTCGATGCCATGACAGGCAAGTCCAGTTGAATACAATGATTCAAATTTATATTGTAATATTAACTCTTGGTGTTGATAGCGCAATCAACAAATTGTCTAATTTAATGGTGGCAAACAAAACTTGAAGAATTTGAATTGGTGTTGATAGCGCAATCAACAAATTGCCTACTTTTATATGTAAGTTTTCTACCCTCCTTGCAGATGGAGAGTTGGTGTTTGGGAAATTGCTTGAAAACCAAACAAAGTTAGTCTCATTGATGGAAAATTCACTCGGCCTGTCTCCCGAGAGTGCAATGGATCTTCTATCTGCATCACTGAATCCCGAAAAGGTAACTAAATTTTACAATTTTGCTGATTTTCGAAAATCTTGAACATTTGTCTTTTGAGAAATAACATAATTGTGTTTTTATTCAATCATGCAGCTGTTTGAACTGATGGATCCAGTCATGTGGGACACCATGGCATGTGATGCCGATTTACTTTCTGAAGTATTTAAATTTCCACCAACTGTAAACACAACGGCTTTAGTCAACGCTTTGTGTGGCGCGAACTTCACAGGTCTCGCTAATGCACTTGCCGAGGATTTGAATGTACATCGGTTGTTGAAGCTGGTAAGTAAACATTTCTTGTATATCTAATTAATTACAGTGAATACATAAAGATTCAATCAATACTTCATGTGTAATAATTGTAATTAACATTTGATTAATTATCGATTGCCCTAATCATTAGAAATTATACGGGCAAATTGCCCCTTAACCACATCTTCTTACTCGATCTGATTCTATCATTTCAGGTGAGTAAAATTAGGTACCGGTTGTTAATTAAAACTGCAGCCAACTCATGGTTATAGCTGCTCAGCAGATTATGTACAGTCTCTGTACTTTTACCTATTATTTGAAAACAAAGATTATCATGTGTTCAGACCCTCATAGAAGATTTCAACGCTTAGGGAGTAAATTAATGCTCCATAGGTTGTTGTAAATTTTTCAGTTTTACAAGTATATCAGTATTCATATTTGATTTTATTAGATAAGTGTAAAATTCTTCTTTCCAAGAATTGTGGGAGTTCATTTGCCTAACAATAAAACCTAATTTATCTAATCATATTTGGAACAATAGCTTCATTAACATAAGAATGATTATTGTGTTCTTTGAGCTTACAACCACCATGCTCAAAGATTCCCTGGGAGAACCCTGGTATAATGACAGGTATATAATTATAGGCATGATTTTCAACTGAAGAAAGAAAAACGATATCTTAATTTCATAAATTATATAATATAAAGTATAAATAATTTGGTATAATGTTTGTATCAGACCATAGTTAATTGCATTCACCATATATTAGGTTTCTCAAATATTATTTACTATATTTGTTTTCAGCTTGATCCAGCTACAATGGAGTACCCAATGCCACCAGTTGATTGGGTGGATGTAATCTACAAGATGCTTGGTGTGTATGAAAAATTGATGAATACAATGAACTCAACAATGCCCATCGCAGTACCACCAATGTTTGGAGACATGTCGCTGTTCAATTTCAACTCTTCAGATATATGGGCTGACCTCAGTCGTCTGCTGGGTGATAATATGACAATGGTAGACCCTATGAGGTAAATATATTATGCTTGTTTTAAGTGACTGTATAAGTGACGTTGTTGAATATTATTTTCTTACATGTGATGGAGTTTGCTATACAGCTTGTGTCATTCATGAACTCTTTGGGAAACATCTACCAATTTTCATCACTTGTACACTTTATTCAGTATGTATAATACATGCTATTTTTCGATACAGAGTACAGTTACGCAATCATATCGTTGTTAATTCTCTATAGACATGTTTATGTTATGTATATGTTAGTTCAATTGCACTAAAAAATACCTGTGTAATATATCTAGACATTGCTCATCTAAGAGGTTTGCTCTTGCTCATCTAAGAGGTTTGCCCTTGCTCATCTAAGAGGTTTGCTCTTGCTCATCTAAGAGGTTAGCTCTTGCTGATCTAAGAGGTTTGCTCTTGCTCATCCAAGAGGTTTGCTCTTGCTGATCTAAGGGGTTTGCTCTTGCTGATCTAAGAGGTTTGCTCTTGCTCATCCAAGAGGTTTGCTCTTGCTGATCTAAGAGGTTTGTTCTTGCTCATCTAAGAGGTTTGCTCTTGCTCATCTAAGAGGTTTGCTCTTGCTCATCTAAGAGGTTAGCTCTTGCTCATCTAAGAGGTTTGCTCTTGCTCATCTAAGAGGTTTGTTCTTGGTGATCTAAGAGGTTTTCTTCTGATGATCTAAGAGGTTTGCTCTTGCTCATCCAAGAGGTTTGCTTTTGGTGATCTAAGAGGTTTGCTCTTGCTCATCCAAGAGGTTTGCTCTTGCTCATCTAAGAGGTTTGCTCTTGCTCATCTAAGAGGTTTTCTCCTGATGATCTAAGAGCTTTGCTTTTGCTCATCTAAGAGGTTTGCTCTTGCTGATCTAAGAGGTTTGATCTTGCTCATCCAAGAGGTTTGCTCTTGCTGATCTAAGAGGTTTGTTCTTGCTGATCTAAGAGGTTTGCTCTTGCTCATCTAAGAGGATTGTTCTTGCTCATCTAAGAGGTTTGTTCTTGCTCATCTAAAGTTCCAAGCATTGAAATGACTAGTGTACATAATTATCAAGGGATGACTAGAAACACCTTTAAGAGAAGGCTCTGTGAAGGATAAATGCAAATGAATACAGTGTACAAACTTTTTATATTATTATTACTTTTGTGTTTGTAGCTTTGGTCCAATACTGGATGAACTAATAGCAATATTCAGTGTAAACGATACCGTCTCAGAGTACATTGAATCGATTAGCCAATTGAGTGAATGGATAACCAGTGAATTAGAAGGTATATCAAGCAAACCAATGACTCTGGGTAACTTGTTTATGAACACAAGTGCATTGTCTAATGTGTTAGAGGAGAGTTTCTCCCTCACACCAGATCTGATAGACTCGCTGTTTGAAATGGAATTATCACCAGCACAGGTATGTTACAAATAATGCAATATTAATTGCCAGGGTTTTTAGAGAGGTAACTGACCAAATTAACTTTAGTGTCAACATTTTTCAACAGAAAGCTCAAACACAGGAAAACCTGTGTATAGCGACTGTTCAAGCTACTTAAAGAATTGTCTTTATAGACAAGTGTTTTTATACAGGGGTTGATTAATTAATTTGTGAATGAAAATCTGATAGTATCTCGGTTTAAGGGGGCGATTTATCGATGGATGATTGAAGTGGTGAATAAATAATGAGAATAAATAATTTACCATATTTGCTCTATTAGTAGCACATGTACATGTATTTCTATTGTCAAAATATGCTTGTTTTGATTAAATTGAGAAAGACAATGTTAAACACTTAATGAAATTACCTTTCATATTTTTGGTCTTTATACACAGGTATACATTTGACCAAACCATTGCCAAAAAGGCAGTCAGTGTTCACATTAGACAGTTCACTTGTACATGCATTGCATTGGGCTGCATAAAGGTGGTCACTCTCGCAAGTGGTCTTTATATAAATGTGGCCAGTAAAACAAGTTTGACTGTTTACAAGTGACTAACATCATGCTAATTGTATAATGTCCAGACCTACTCTCAATCATTTCAAATTTTCATTAGCATAATGTACTTTTACTTTGTTTTAACATATGAAAACATTGTATACTTTCTATTTTAGTTGACACAACTTCTTACTAGTGAGTCAGAACAACTTGCAGCTCAGTTATGCAACCACACAATACCTGATATGTCAATGATGTACATGGCGGAAGAGATACCTGAAGACCTTCGAGCGGCTTTATGCGATACCAACACTACTCAACTATTGGAAGAACTGATTGGGCAATTGGACATGATGAACATTTTGACTGAGGTAGGTTGCAATACTTGTATGCTCTGCTTGGTGTCTGTTGTTTTGTGCTATTTCAATTCAGTGTCGGATTTCTCAACTTGGTGTAAATTTAAATGGTTTGCTTCCTTATCTGAAATTTAAAGTAAACCTACTTTTAATTGTATTGAAGGTTTTTTATATTTAATTACCAGTAAAAACATTTGGAACACTGAAAAGTATGTTTAAAGTATTTAATGAGCATTAAACGTATACATATTAAAAGGGCAGTTGTCGTTGCGCTGTGCTTACATTTCATGTAAACAAACAATGTGATTTACACGTACATGTAGCTATCACTCCCATAGTGAAGTGGATGCTGCGCAATGACCATTGCCATATAACCAAAAGTGCTCGTGAATACAGGGACGGGCAACTGCCTTGTGTTGTATTAAATAAACATATCTGCCATTTCATACTTTTCCACTAGTTTTTGTATTCTGCTTTTAAAAATATGCTGTGTCAAATATGTTTACATTAGACTAGTTAAATACTGCATGTCCTGTGGTGCAGACTTGTTTTTGTTGAAAATCAATGTAGTGAGCACTCATCTTTTGTTGCTCTACAGATGTATCAATTAAAATAATATTAATTAACATAGAATGGCAAATCATTAAACACTAAAACATGCAACACTACTAATATGACTCTGACCCAACCTTTATAGTTCTGGGGACTGTGGAACGTAACCAAGGACGAGTTTGATAACACAAGATCAAACCTGACGAATGAGATCGATAAGATATTACGATTGTTGAATGGATTCGAAACGCTACTGACCGACCCACTGGCGATCAATGAAGAGTTTTTGAAGATGTTCAATGTATCAACACTTGACGAATTAGTAGGACAATTTGAAGACTACATCAATGGTGTGATGAGTAACCAAAGCATACCAAGGTAAATTACTTTTTACTAAGTATATACTTTAAATCGTTTTAATTTCACAATTTCCTAGCCGGTGAAAATTGGGAAATTTTGTAGCCGTGAAAATTCCTCTAGGGTTATACAATACAGACTTTTGTGTAATTTTGTCAAAACGAATGCCATAACTTCATCAAATCGCACAAATTAAAGGCAGTTTTGGTCGCAAGCATTCAGATTTTGTGGGAATAAACAACATAGTGGCCCATATGCATAGGACCCACTTCAAATGCAGACATACCGATAACTTTAATTAAGGAACTTTTACTGTACATTTATGTTGTATGTCAACGTGCACATTTTCTCATTCTGCTGTTCATTCATTCTGTTTTATACCTACATTGTACGATATTCGCAGTTCAAAACATAAACATTACTTACAGTGGTAACTACCGAGGTAGTACTTCATCCCTACAAAACAACTTCAACTGTAACCATACATGACAATTGTTTGGATTTACTACGTTACTTGTAAATATGCAATGGACTTTTACTAGTAATATTTCTCTAAAAAGTGGTCGCTATAAAGATATGAACATACATTGTTGTGTGAGTCTGATAACAGAGCTACTTTGAGTAACTGATTCATGTGTAAATAGAAACGCATTGTCTTGTCCATCTTGGTGTTTACTATCGGTAGTTATTGTGTAGTATATCTTTTTAAATCCAGGCTATTCTATTATTTTAGAACGTCAATTGTAAAGTCATTACCACTCTGGTAATTCTTTTCACTGTCTTTTTCGTTTCAGCGTGGTTGATATGCTACAACAAATTGAAAATGGTCTAAAGTACACGGAAATCTGGGGATTAATCCAGCCGCAGTTGGAAGTGTTTAATCTAATTATTGAGGGCATGGTGGAACAGCTACAAGCTGGTAAGAAAATCATACTAAACAATAAACATGTTTTGAGTTCCTGTGGCATGTGCCATTGTTGCTATGTTACTGAGTGACCTTGCAAAAAATTGGGGGAGTTATTTTTTCAACCAGTCATTCATATGCCTGTTTGCCTCAGTTTTTCACAAGTTCAATAGAAATTTGTCCCCCAGAAATATGAAATGTACATACAAATACAAAGATGTTATAAATTATATTTTGTCTAACTTCACTGGGGGTGTATAAATGGAAAACATGTTTTTAGTATTTTAGGATAATTTTGTAAACTTTCAAAGGTATCATGGATGCCTTACTTTGAACGAAACTGAAACTGGTGTGGTAGTAAAACATCTTCTTAACTGAATCAATATCATTGAGTTCGTCAGAATTTTCTAACAAATTGGAATAATAATGTCCGCTATTGAGAAAAATTTGGAGGTATGAAAAAAACCTTGTTATTTTCATTTTCATGGTAAATGTCTCAAAGATCGCTATTTTCATGGGTGTTTGACACATTTTTAGTGCAAAAAGTAACCATACTTATCTGTCTGGTTTTGTGACCAAAATGAAGCTATATGGTAAAAATCAAGGAAATCTGGTGATTTGTTTTAATGATCACTTAATACCACAATACAATATTATTTTTTCTCACAGACTTTGATTCCCAGATGTTGATAGGGGAATTCCACTTTGCTATGGCAGTATATCGAAGACGCATTGGATGCAAGTCAATACCCAATGGATCAGACATTGCTTGCAAATTTGTTTGATGTTTGGAAGGTAAGTTAAAATCATATTATTTTGTTTTGGCTCAACAAACAGTAATAGCTTTTCAAGACTATAAATTTATTTCACTTTCTTAGCAAATATTTGGGATCATTTCTTCTCAAAAACCCAAAGCAGATTGTTTTTATATGTACATGTACCAGACACACACCTCTATTTTAGTCCTCATTTAGGAACTATTGAATTGTGCACATGTGCGTATTCAGAGCCATTTCACAGACATTCTTTGTCCGATCACATTCAAGCTTAACACACAGACCGTGTATGATGAAAAACATATGCAAGTTGGTTTTCATTACCAGTTGATAGTATATGGCCGACTGTGGCCATTTTGGTGTTCAAAATTGCTAAATTACATTCTGATACTTTATATGTGTCTGTGTTATATTGGGATTCAATCAAACATTGAATTGACTGCCTTTAGTTGACTGGCAATCATTTGGTACCATGCTAATGGTAGTTTATCAGTATGTGCAATTATTATCACCGCATTTTTTAACGGAACCATAATTAAATTCTAATTTATCTATTCATGTTACAGCTGGCTGATATATACAACACGGGACGATGGAATGAGGTGTTCTGTGACCTTGATGCGTTTGTTGATTTTTTTCCTTATACTGAACCATTCAACGTTACTGCTATTCAAACTAAAATGTGCACCCTCAATGTAACGCAGTTCTTTGACTTGGTCGGGAGTGATGTAGGAATTGATGTCTTAGAGATGGAAAAATGGGTGAGTATGCGTTATTTCAGTGATGACTGGCAGCGTAGTGATCGCAGACCATGAGGTCACGAAGTCACGAGTGCAAATCCCACCTAGGGTTGAGCATAAAAATGCTATCAACATCATTACTCTTGTCGAGTATGCGAGAGTCATTCATTTTTATGTGATTGTAATTTAGCAAGTTTCTTGGGTGAGGGTAAAACTAACCTGTCTCACAATGGCCTAATTCTAAATAATTCCAGTTTTCAACCAGGTTCGGTTGATGCCAGGATAGTATTTTAAAAAAAATGGTATATTCATACACACTTATTTGTTTCTAGATGTCCCGACTACTCGCTCCTAACGTCAGTTTTGCAAATTTACCAAAATTTGACTGGGCCGACATGGTCGAAAATATCGAACAACTTCTGTATCTCTTTGAAGAACTAATGACATTTACTCCAGCTCATGACTATATAGGACACTGGAAATATGACGGAAATGATGGATCTATTAAAACGATACAATGAGGCACTACAGAACTATAATGTTGATATGTGAGTATACCTCCAAAAGCAATTTGTCTTAGTTTTATTGAAATTTTAACTGGTGTGATCATTAAACGTCATTAAATGTGTAAAACAGATGAAATGTGAATAATGTGATATCTGACATTACTGTCAATTTCAAATGCATTACTGTTGTGGCTTTCAGTGATTTTTTCTGAATCTCACAGTGATGAATTATCTGAACAAAGCCTACACCACAGTAGATATGAATATTTGTTTTGTAAGTGATCACATGATGTAATGCTTCATAATTAGTTACAACTGTATATCATTTGAAATAAATGCTGCCACAAGAATTTTCAATGGTGATAAAAACGTTCAGTTTATTGAAATTAGAAATGGATTATGTGAATTGGTCTCAACCGTTTGAGCACCATTGTCAACTTTTGGTACATATACAAAAATGATTGTGTACAATCTGCTCCACCTCACATGAAATATTGATGAAAGTTGGCAACATTTTTGATCAAAAACTAAAAAGGAATAACTGAACTCAGCTGTATGGTCCAAAATGTGGGAAATGTAGCCAAAATTTTACAAAATGTGAAAATTTTGACACTGAATCTTGTATGGAAATCAGTTTATCATGGATATCCATACTTTCACATTTAGAGAGATATTTTATCGTAAACCTCACAACTATGAATGATATGCATGTGTGACATTTTTCATATATTATATACCAATTAAAAAATAAATACTGTGAAATACTTTATTTTAGCTGGAAGTAATTTTCGCTGAAAAGACTTTTTGGATGTTTTGTACGGAATTTATTTTCACTGATTTTTGACAAGTTGAATAAAAAATATAGGAAAAAAAGTATATTTATTTGCACTGAATCATTTCTTCAGCGAAAATTAATTCCAACCGAAAATAAAGTATTTTACAGTATTGTATTTTGAGAGAATTATTATTTTCACCTCTATCTATCTTTTTTGTAGGATGATTGAGTTGTTTAGCAGTTTAGATTCTATGCTTAGTAATGATGGTATGTGGGGAAACTTTAAAGGTTACATGGACTCCATTGCAACTATAGCAGAATGGTTCAACAATAGAGTGGACGAGCTTGAAGGTAATTTATTTTCAAAACATATTGTACATTGGGGTGCGTTGATGAGCATGCATAGTCATTCAATAATTTAATATTTTCAAAATAACTGTTTAAGTTCTAGTTATATATACAGGGGTTTCACAAATGCATTTAATAATAATAATAATAATAATAATTTATTTACCTAGAAAATATTTCATACAATACTCAAAATTGTACATGCAGTCTAGGTGAAATGGAATCTGAAATAGCTTAAAAGCTAGTCGAGTCAGATCAGGCCATTATCCTGTAACAACAGGCCAAAATAAATAAATAAAAAGGCTCTCGGCAGTGCGAACCGCTGCAGCGAAGCTGGCGTAGGCGATCAGGGGGCAGAGAGTAGGCAGCCAATTTGGACTTGCAGCAGGCTATATGGCAGGTGGCCTGCTCTTAATGAATCCCCTGTATATACTGGTAGTTAATAAAATTATTATTATTTTGGTTATTCAATAAAATTATTATTACTTCAGTGACATCATTATATGATACTGCAGTCGTGTGTGCGAGTGCATGAATAAATTGAATATCATAACTGTATGAATTGTGAAGAAATATTTTTTTTTTTCACTATGTTTTGCAGGGTTTAATTTCAACTTGACAAACCTGTTGAAAAACAAAACTGCTACGTTTGAGACTCTAACAAGTATGATGTCCCCAGAGACAGCTGAGGTGTTCAGAAAAGCTTTGATTAATCCTTCCAATGTAAGTATTAGTGGTGTACTCTTTTAATTAATACAGTATGACCATTGCATACAAGTCAGTGATCGCACCACATGGCATCAGTATGTCTGTGTCTGTGTGTGTGTGTGTGTGTCTCAATCAATCTCTGTCTAGTTTCCAATGTGAGTGCAATGAATGCATGCATGTGATATTACCGTGTGTCTATTGTACCGGTATATAAGCCAATCATCATACCATATGACATTGATGAATCTCTGTACTACAGTACTACAGTACTGCCAATAGTATATTAATGTATCAGCGGCTGGAACTGAGACTTAAAATGAAGCTCCCAGCAGTCTTCCATGAAATAAATACGCAATATAAAACTTTTTTTTATTTTCAGTTTATGCAATTTATGAATATAAATCAGTTCCAAGCTAATGTGTGTGATCAACAATGGTTCAACTACGTTCTCCAATTCCCGTCTGACGTGAGTGAGGATGAGATTGCCTCACTACAGGAGACTTTGTGCAATATTGCAAAGAATGAAACTGCATTTAATGAGCTAACGTATGCATTCTTTGAGCAGTTTGATCTGTTGTCGTTTTATAATGAGGTGAGAAACTTTGACCACACACACAATATGCTATAGCAGGGGTTTTTCTAGAAAAAAAAACTGCAAGAGAGAGCACTGCAATTTAGCGGCGCCACCAAGTGGGGGAGATAGGGCTCTCCCTACCAAGGTGTGGGAGTTTTTGATAATTCTCAGTTAAAATGGAGCATTCTATGGCTTCCTTGGGGCCAAAATTACTATCAGACAGGTCACAGTTGAAGACTGTGGCCACATGTGATCCCTGGTCAATCAGAATTTTATGGTTGCCAGAGGATCTGCTCCCCAGGGTAAGGGGGTGCATGGCCATGGCATGAGGGCGCTGCACCCCTGTTCCCTTGTTTAAAGAAAATCCCTGCTATAGTGCAGCCATGGATGAATGTACTGTGTACAATGTGATGTTTCATCTTCTAATCAACACATACACAGGAATGGTGGGTCTTTATATTATAAAGCCAGATGTGTACCATAATGTTTAGGGTGTCCATGTATGAAGCATCATGCAGGGAGATGACGGGTTAGACTTCCATTGTTAGTCAGCCACTCAGCAAAGATGGCAATAGAACTATCTGCCCACTTACCATAATCACAAAAATAATGTGCATTTGGATTGGATGTAAAGCTGTGTATCCCAGCGTCCTTGTCACAAGATGATTGATTGGAATTTACCCCAATGAGGGTGCTGTGGGAGATTAGACTGGCTGGCTTCGATCAATTTAATCTGAATACAAAATATAATTATATAACTGAAGGTATAACAAGTGCATTTTTGCATTACGCTAAATATGTCTATTTCTTATAAAATTGATAAATGTACCAGTTTTCGAAGGTGTCAAAATGCAATTTTTAAGACATGGTCTATAATTACCATTGCACAAATGCACCAGCACAGTTGATGCAAATAATGTTATTCTATTCTACAGATTGCAGCTATGATGAGTGGTAATATAGGCACTGATTTCATCGCATGGACAGCATTGGTAGAAGAACTACAGGAAGCAATGGACAAGATCAACATGATTCTTGAAAAGGATTTATTCAAGTATGGTAACCATTCAAATCCTTGGGATATGAACACATCCTTTATGGATAACTTTGTGCGTTCACTGAGAGAAATTCTTGTATTTATGTCTCCGGATGGGTAAGTTAATTATCTACTCGAAAAACACACTTGTATGAAGTGTGCATAATTAGTGTTCATTTAACAGACTTTGGTAGATTTCAGTTATCATTCAACATATTAAATGCATTAACACATATATACTAGCCATCAGTGATAACAGATCTACCAGTAATCACTATTAGCATGGTGGTTTTTGTTTTGAGGCCATAAATCAGGGTTGAACAACCTGGGCAAGTGGGACTCAAAATTCAATGGCTTAGAGTTGTTCACTTATGGATTTAAATTGGGGGGGGGGGGACTTGGTTAAGGTTCACATTGCTTGTGTTTAAGCTGGTTGACACTATGATAGTGCATTAAACTGCCATTTGATAAATGGCTGCAGGTGGCTGCACAGTCCTGTCATAGATAAAAGCCGCACCCACTTTTTTTGAACAATTGAGATCCAAAAATTCACCATTTCTCATATGAGTAGATGTTTTAATAGAGGTCACATCCCCTCTGTATCATTGTACTACTGTAAAAGGATTAATCATTCACTGGGTTTTAATTTTGCTTATTTCGCTGACTGGAAAATGCGCTAAATTGAAACCCAGTGAATATGTAAAATTTAGCATAGAACACATTATCTAAATGATAAAACCGTGAATTTAAACCCCATGGAATATGCCTAAAATGGTAAATCAGCAAATTTAAACACAATGAAAATTAGTCATTTTACAGCATTTTAATATTACAGATTAAAGTATACATTTTTGGTATACTGTATCATTTAACTAATTATGCACTACTAATTGAGTAAATACGCTATTTTTAGTGTGTTACATGTAGCACCATTTTACAATACTTCTATTTTCTTTTTTTCTTATAGATTCCAGAACGCTACCTCCCCTATGTGCAATATGGTGATGCCTTGGATCGGCAATACTACTATGTGGATGGAATATGTGGAGCCAAAACTGATTCGTGATGCACACTTCATGCGAATAATAAATGAGAACATTGTAACAATGGAAGGTAATGAATATAGCTTTCTATGGAATGAATGAATAAATAAATGAATGAATCTAAAAAAATGCATTGATTGATAAATAAATGAATGAATAAATAAATAAAAAAATCAACACAAAATGAATGAAATACATACGTGTATGAATGACACTGAATAAGTAAACATAAATCAATGGATAGAAGAAATAATAAACAAATGAATGAATGAATGAATGAATGAATGAATGCAACAAAATTAAAAAATTGATTAAATTTAGTATTTTAGAATGAACTAATATATTCTGTTTATTTTTTTTAGAGAACATTTTAGAATCAATTGCTCTACAAGACAATATGACAATGACGATTCAGTTTGCAATGGAAACGGTCATCGTGCTGCCGGGAATGATTGACGCATCTATCCAGATTATGAGTGATCCAAGGATGTTACAGCTGGCAAGTTTCAATTATGACCATTTTTTTGTAAATTTGAATCCGATGAAAAAAAAAAATTACATAAATGAAGAGTTGCCATCTCTACAAATAGTTTGAATGAGTTCGCATTTTTAATTGTATACTGTAAAATATTTTATTTTCGATTGTAATTAATTCTTGCTGAACGAATGATTCAGTGAAAATAAAATCCAGTAAATATGTCTTTTTTCTTATATTTTACATTCAACTCATCACAAATCAGTGAAAATAAATTCCATACAAAACACCCAAAAAAAAACTTTCAGCGAAAATTAATTCCAGCTAAAATAAAGTATTTTATAGCATGCATTATATTATGTCTGCCGATAGATGAGTTATAATATTTTATTTTATTGAGGCGATTAAAGTCACGCCTGTAACTTTCACATTGTAACTTGTTCCCCCAGGTTAGTGGGGTATATTTCTTTAGAGAAATGGAAATAAAATAATAATAATAAATTATTGCAAAGTTTTTAAATACTAAAAATATATTAATAATAATTTTTACATAATTTTAGTATATGAATGCCAGTATGCAGCTCATTGATATGGGAGAGGATGCTGCAGCATTAATTGTGTGTGACAAACTAAGTCTGAATATGATGATAGGAGCCCCCAGTAATCTTAATGTGTCTGCCATCTCAACTGTATTATGTGGCATGCAGAGAATTCGTTCCACTGAGTTGATGAAACAATCAATGGAGATAATGGGTATACAGTCAATGTTTGAGGAGGTAAGCATCTATCTATGGTACAGTAAATTTGTTGCAACATTTTTCAATTTAAAATTTGTTATGGTGTATTTTATCCTTCCATGGTATATATTTCATACTCTGTGGTATATGTTATACTCTTGTGGTATATGTTATACTCTGTGGTATATGTTATACTGCTGTGGTATAATTTATACTCCCATGGTGTATTTGATACTCCCACTATATGGTATACTGTATATTTCCATGGTATATATTTCATACTCTGTGGTATATTTCATACTCTGTTGTATATGTTATACTCCTGTGGTATATGTTATACTCCTGTGGTATAATTTATACCCCCATGGTGTATTTGACACTCCCTCTATATGATATACTGTATATTTCCATGGTATATATTTCATACTCTGTGGTATATTTTCTATTCTGTGGTATATTTTTTATCCTGCAATGTCATATGTAATGATATTGAAGACTTTGGAGGTGAGAGGGCATCCATTATCAAGGTCAAAATGTATAAAATGTCCGTAACATAGCAATAACGTAGATTCCATGGTTATCCGGGTAAGCGCCCATGCCCGGCCAAACATACATGTAGCAATAACATGGATAATATCAAAGGGTAGAAAAGCAAACTCGTTGGGCATCTCGGCAATTGCCTTTAATGTCTTGGTCTATGTTATGATCTTCCCACGCTTACATATACAGGGCATGCCATGTATAGTTTAACTAGGATTTACTGCAGACCTGCAGTATAACTTATACTCACATGATATATTTTATTTACAGATGATGTACATCTCCTTTGCACCAATAGAAGAGCTTGGATCGTTTAACTGCGAAGAATATGCAAATAGTATGCTTGAAATGCAAATCAATATGAATGATTTTGTTACTAGCATTATGAGTGGGAACCTTACCAGTGCCGTTTTCAATATGCCTCTACTGAATTTGGTTGATATAGCAACAGACCTCATGACTAAAGTTTCGCCAGATGAATTGCAGAGGTATGTAAACTTATATGATTGTATTACGAAAAAAAAACAAAAAAAAACAAGATTATAAATTTTTATTGGTGTATGTGATTTGACATTTTTCATTTTTCTTTTCTCAGTGTTGCCGAAATGTTGACGCTTTTTGCCCCGTTATTTGACAACGAAACCCTGGCTTTGTTAGAAAACATGGATGCAATCATGCCTTATATGGGTATGATACAGAGGTGGATGGATGAGAGGATCAGGAACCAAAGTAGGTGTTTGCAAACTTAACTATAAAATAACTTTCATGAATTGTATTACTTTTAATAAATTTGAAATAAATTGAATAAATTTTTCTATTGTGTAACATTAAATGTTTACATTCATTTTTCAAAATAAAGTATAAATGACTTTTGGATTCGATTGAGTTCTTTCATGTGTATTTAGAATTACCGGTAACTAATTTTCATGTATATGTATACCTTTGTAGCTGTATCGAGCCTTCCTATTAGTTTCAAAGACGTATTTATTAACTCCAGTGCAGTGGAGCAGTACCTGAGGGAGGTACTGGAGTTGGACACATATTTGTTAAAAGTTATCATGAATTCATCCCTGAATACCGACGCTGTGAGTAATTATTTCACTTAAAGCGAGAGGGTCGCCACCTGCACACGTGTTGGAATTGAGTCTCAAGTGACGATAACAACACACGCTAAAAACGCAAAGGCTCATGGGTGGATGTTTGTTTGTAAACTATGACACGCTATGGCCATCTGACGCATGCGCAGGTGACGACTCCCTCGCTTTAAAACAAATTATATTATATTATAACCGAATTAAATTCGGATTTAAAATTTAAATGCCATTAATTCTTTATATAATGCAAAATTGCCTTAACTTTGTAAAGGTAATAATGACATCATCGAATTAATCGTTTTTTGTTTTTTTTCTAGTTACTGAATATGATTGGCTATGATCTCATGGAATATGAAGAGTACACATGTCAAAGCGCACTGGATGATCTAATCCTCTTCCCACCTGCAGTCAATGTTACAAGGGCCCTTAATGACCTCTGTATGCTGAATATATCGTCTGTGATGTTTGATTTGAGAACGTATATCGACTGCCACAGCTTGTACTCGAGGTTTGTGCAATGAACTTTTATGAAGTCAAGAATGCATCAATAATTGTTGCCGTCAATAACAAAATCTGTTTTTTGGGGTAGAAATTTGCTATATTTTGAATGCTTAACTAGAAGATGGATGTAATGGATGGAATTATGATCGTCGTCAATAAAAAAAAAAAATTTTTGTTGGTAGAAATTTGCTATAATTTAAACGACTGATTTGGGCATTTCATCATTAGAGGGCGCTTTATTACATTTTTTCTGGGAATTCACATACTTCCACAACCTATAGAGTAATTAAAACCTATCTATAACTTGTTGAAATGCTTTTTCTTGTTTCCATTTTACTCGTAGCTCGTTGAGCTCAAACCTGATCGCAGCGACGTTGACTATTCAGCTTTACTTGATGAACTACAAGAATTCATCAACGATGTTCGTCCAAGCGACGAATTCCTTTCCGATGTTGAGGAGATGTGGAGTGATCTACAAGGTGCTTTAGAGGAAGAAGAGGATGCTGCTAAGTTGATGTTACTTACTGATCAAAAAACCATAGATGTTATCATGCAGTACGTATACAGATGCCGCTTCTATCATATTTGTATTTTTAATATCAATGTTATTAGAAGTGCCTTCCTTTTAACCTTTTCACCACTAGACTTTCTCGCCTAAATTTTTCTGCACTTTTTTTTGTATTCTCCAATATTTCTGAAAAAGAACCCAAATTTTTCAGCCAACAGACAGAATTTGAGTCAATTTTCAGTTTTTACTAAAAAGATTTGGCTATTTTTGTCCCAATCTTCTGAAGGAAAATGCAGACTATAAATGGGACTATTTTGTGAATTTGTGATGAAAAGAGGGAACTGGTGGTGAAAAGGTTAACATATTTACTTGTGCCAAAATGCTTAGAACTTTTGTATGGTTTGTTTTGTTTGTTTTCTTTTGTATCTTCTTTTCTTGACTTTTTCTTCTAGTTTCTTCACATGACAGTGTGCATGGAAGTTTTAGGTGCTCTATAGTTGTTTAGTTACCATGGTACCATGCATGCGAAACATTGACCAACGTTGCCTCATTTCCTGTACCTGAATATGTTTTAGGCAGCTATACCAGCTTAATTTTGTACTGAACATATTGATTTTGTAATTGTTAATTTGAGTTAAGTTTACAGAATGTTTGTAAAATACAAAAAATGTATTTTTCATTCTCAGACACACAAAGAATCATGATAAATCATAATTTATAACACTTAGTTTCTAAACGTATATTGTAAAATATTTCCGGGGACATCAGAGGATTCAATGTGAGGCAAATGTGCTCACAACTGATTGTAAAATCAACATCCCTTTTTTTTAGTCGTCCCGTGCTTAGTCACCCATCTATACAGAACCGTATGACCCATGTATTACGAGTGTATCCATTTTTCGTTAATTTCTAGATTGGGAGATCTTCTGGAAAAGTTGGAACCCTTCCTGTATGACAACCCAGCCTACCAACAACTCCAAGAATTCTTCAACGCTTTCAAGACTCTACCATTTTTACGCGACTTGCTTGGCATTATTCCAGGTAATATCAGCAACATCATTTGGGGGGGGGGGGGGCATCACTGTGAAAATTGTTTGCAAGTATTCTGGGAGTTCTGGCAACTTAACAATTTCTTGATACTCATATTAATGAAGAACACTGCCTGATGACTCAGACTAGAGTTGGTTGATAAGTTTTGAGATCACTCTGTTTTACTCAACACATTTAATACTAACAAAACACCTACGCATGTACATGAAAGTGTATGTAACATTAATTGACTCAAAAAATATCTGTACATTTTTCTCAATAGATGTTAAGATGTCCGATTTAGTAATTGCTCCAAACAATTTCAAGGATTTCCTTGTGAAAGAACTAGGATTCTCCGAGAAGGTTGCAGAAGACTTACTCAACGCTAAAATCCGGTTTGATGAGGTTATTTTTTTATTTATTTTTAATATGGTTCATTGATTGTCTTAATCTAATCATGGAGGTAAAAAAAGAAGGAGCACCGATGCCTATTGTTTCCTTTGTGTACTATGATAGTTGGCGATTGTTTGCCAAGCAAACAATGCGCTGTCTGTTTTCCTGTTATCTGCATAATCCCTTAATGAGGATTACGTGGTTCGGAGTCTTCAGACAAACTTTGACAATCATCCGAATGAACTGCGCATGTGCAGAACCAGAGAAACAAACATGGCATCAGGCGTCGGGCATAACACGAGTTCCTATCGAAATTTCCGATATAGATTTTTCTGCGGAAGAATGGGCAGACTTGGCCGTAGTTGGGAATGAACTGGCTATTTTTCACCAGTCATTTTGTATATGTGGTGTTGAAGAGACAGAAAGCATGATTGCATGTGACGACAACGACTGCACAGTGACATGGTTTCATTGCCAGTGTGCAGGGTTGACAGCAAAAACTAACCGATGCACTGTTCAGCGTCCTACCATCGCACCAATTGTCGCGATTTTTGACAACTGCTCGCCGTCGCTCGCCAGATTTGACAGTGGTTTTCAAAAGCTGAGGATGCAAAGATTTTATAAAAAGTTAAATATTTTTGCGGAATTCTGTGGATCATATAAATAAAGTGTTCAAAAGCTGACTCGTCAGAGAGAATAAAATAGAGTCAATCTTCAACTACAAACGGGATTAAATGTCCAAGTGTCTAGTTTCCGGTGTGTAGTGTGAATGGTGACCTCTTGTTTTCAACAAAGGTCACTGCGCATGAGTAACGACCTCATTTATGGTCTGCGCAACTGATTTAATATTTCATCGGAAAATTGTTTCTGTGTAATCTGAATATTACCGTCAGTACACTAGTTTAAACAATCGCCAACTATCAATGAGTTCAAAGACCTGGAGCACAAAGGGATAAGGAGATTAACTTAGCAATAAACAATTGAATTTAATAGGCTTATTTTCCATCAGTGCTCCTTCTTTTTTTACCTCCATGATCTAATCATATGGAGTTGGAAGTTTATATTAAATGTTGTGATTACTTTGTGTGTCTGATTGCTGTTATTTTTATTTTGTAGTTTTTCAGCCCCAACAGCACTAAAATATCGGACATTGTTTGCACAGAAGAGGAGCTTTCTCAGCTGCTTGCGTTCCCGCCAGGTTATAACGTAACCGATGTTATTGACAATATTTGTATCGGAGATCAGAACTTGCTTATTAACATAACAACGGAAATTATAAGACAATTAAACATTGGGACTCTCATACAAGAGGTAGGGATAATTGTGCAGTATTTCAGAGGTGAAAAATTGTATATTTATGTACTTTAAATCACAGATGGATATATTCACAGATGTGTTTGATAATTAATTACTTTCTTGGATTGCCGATCGCTTTGTTTGTGAAGACAATTCTGAGAAAGTTTACTCGTTCAGATTATACTACATGCGTCTAAAGTTGAATTCACACTTAAATTTTCAAGTAAAACAGTTAAAAACATAAAATGTGTATAAAATAATATTGTTTTTTGCTAAAAAATATGAAATATTAAAAGTAGATGTCCAGCCATGATCTCCAAACACATTTCATTTTTGAATTACTGGAGGGTATTATGAATTAGAACATACATACGTACACCTATAATGAAATCATCAAGGACAAACAAATTCTTTGGTCTCGGTGAAGTGTAATTGTTTACAAACTTTATTTTGCTTTATTCTGGAGGCCTGCTTAGAATTCATTTATTCCAACCACAATTATGAAATTTGATTGTATATATATATATATATTGGTCGGGGGGGGGGGGTACCTTGCAGATTTGCAAAACAAGCTTAGAATGCAACTTTAACGATGATGACTGTATATTTTAAATTCTGAACCTCAATTGTATCATATTTTACTATGTGTTTCCATTCAGCAGTTATGTCACTGATAAATGTTGTGATTTCACTTTGTGGTGTTGTTTGAATATTAATTGCATACAAATTAAAATAAATATTTCTTGCAATGTCTAATTCCACTGGCAAAATCTTTTCAAAAAAAGGCTTAGGAAAAAAATGGACATCCAAGTAGGATGAGGGAAATTCATAGTCATTGTTTCCATGGAAACAAATTGTAATTAATTCACTCTGACAGCAAATTATCATTGTTATGCTTTTGTCACATTTTATAAAAATGAGCTGCATAATTTATTTCCTATTTTTTCACACTTTTTATCAAAATCTATAGTGAGTAGAAAATCATGTCCATTTGGTCAAAAATTAACCTACAAACAGGGATTGAAATAGAATTTTTCCCCTGCATGCACAGTGTGCACGTTGAATTTGAAATTTATCTGCACTAACTTGTTGTGAAATGCATGGCCACCAATTTTAAAGTTTTAATAAAATTTACAGGTTCTCGATCTATGCGATCATGAAAGAATTTGTATTTTTTGAGTTATCTTACAATATTGGTTGAACTTAATTTAGGCTTAGTGAATATAATGAGAAAATGTGTTAATTTCTACATGCACTGCATGCACATTATATTTTGAGTTTACTTGCACTAGCTAATAATCTATGTGCATAGTGCAGTGTGCACCAGAGTATTTCGACCCCTGCCTACAAAATATGTAAATACATAAAGATTTGCAAAATTGAATTTTGTACCAAAATTTGAGCAGGAACCATAAAGTTTTATAATTTTTAATTTTACAGCTGGTGACAGTTAATATCAACGACTTGATTAACTCCACGAAAGGATCCCTAGCAAATATAGCAGATATCGTAGAACAATTGCAGCCACTTGAGGCAAAAATGCCAGAAATCATTGCAGCCATGGCAAATCTAAGTATTTCTGATAAGTTTCCTGATGGATTGGGTGAGGGATCGCTTATTGGTTCCGCAGCACGCCAGACCATGGATGCCATGACTGAGGTTGTTTGCGGTGAGTCTTCCAGTGACTCCAACGTTAATGTGCTGGAGAGAACATTTGGTTCTATGCTTAATGGTATTGTGCAATCAGACAATGGTGGAGCAAGAAAAAAGAGGGATATAAAAAAATCAAAGTCCAGCGACAAAATCCATGAACACCGTGTTAAAAGGGAAGATTCTTCTGAGGATACTGATGATATGCCAAGTGAACTGCGTGATGCAAAAAGTGAGTCAAAGCTGTTTGTAATTTTCTTTTTCATGTTTGTAAATCCTCTCTTTAATTCCTTCCCCATAATGCATTGCAGTAACAATGTCATTGTAAAGGTGCACAGGAAATTCTAAACATCCTTCTGATAGCATGTATAATACAGTCAACCATGCGTTAGTGACTACCTCTACATAAAGACCACCTTCCTTTAGTGAACAATTGGACAGTCAAACCTGTGTTAGTGAACACCTTTATATAAAGACTACTTGCCTATAGTGACCAACTTTGGACAATCAAACCTATGATAGTGATCACCTTCATATAAAGACCACCTGCTTATGGTGACCAACTTTGGACAGTTGAACCTATGTTAGTGTCCACCTTTATATAAAGACTACTTGCCTATAGTGACCAACTTTGGACAATCAAACCTATGATAGTGACCACCTTCATATAAAGACCACCTGCCTATAGTGACCAACTTTGGACAGTCAAACCTGTGTCAGTGACCAACTTCATATAAAGACCACCTGCCTATAGTGACCAACTTTGGACAGTCAAACCTATGTTAGTGACAACATTTATATAAAGACCACCTGCCTATAGTGACCAATTGAACAGTCAAACCTGTGTTAGTGGTCACCTTCATACAAAGACCACATGCCTTTAGTGACCAGCTTTGTACCGCCAACCCTATGATAGTGACCACCTTCATATAAAGACCACCTGCCTATAGTGACCAACTTTGGACAGTCAAACCTATGTTAGTGACCACCTTCATATAAAGACGACCTGCCTATAGTGACCAACTTTGGACAGTCAAACCTGTGTTAGTGACCACCTTCATATAAAGACCACCTGCCTATAGTGACCAACTTTGGACAGTCAAACCTGTGTTAGTGACCACCTTCATATAAAGACCACCTGCCTATAGTGACCAACTTTGGACAGTCAAACCTATGTTAGTGACCACCTTCATATAAAGACCACCTGCCTATAGTGACCAACTTTGGACAGTCAAACCTGTGTTAGTGACGACCTTCATATAAAGACCACCTGCCTATAGTGACCAACTTTATATAAAGACCACATGCCTTTAGTGACCAACTTAAGACAGTCAAATCACTTTCAAGCAGTTCCAAGGCATAACGTACAATGTATGAGCAACCTGTGTATAATCCAGTCTCCATATAAAGACCACCTGTCTAGAAAGACCATTTTAATGAAGGCCCTAGACACAGATAATACAATTTTACAGCTTGGTGTATAAAACATAAGATTCTAGTATTCAAATGATTGAAATGATTTTTTTGTATTTTCGTTGTATACAATTACTATGTAGAATATAATTTTGTTGTAAGTTTACTAGTTCAGCAAAATCTTGGCATAATTGTTGATGAAAAGGCATGTTTTAAACAGCCATAATTTTCAAAATGTCAGTCGTACATGTAGGTTTAATCATATTATTAGGCAGTACATCTTTTCAAAGAAGACAGTGATGTATGGAATACATTAGGAAAAGGTTTATCGCATATTAGGGAGTGTTGGTATACATAGTGGGATAATGGGCATGAAAATAAAATATCTCATAACAATCCCAGATATTGCAGAGAAACACTTTTTATATGTTATTTGATTTATTTTTTATTCTGCTCTTTCTGAAGTGCATATATTTTATATGTGTTATATGCATTTTGTACTGATGCTGATACTAGTGTTGGGGAATACTAAATTTGACAGTTTTCTTGCTTAAAATAAATAAATAATTATCAATTTAACTTTTTTGTGTACAGGCAGCTTTTGTCGTAGTCTATACCAGCAAATTCATAACGGTGAAAACGGCATATTTGTTTGGGCCTACGTGAAGCCGATATTGCTGGGCAAGATACCTTACGCACCGGACACACCAGCTGCAAGAGAAGTTATAGCTGCGGTATGTACTATGCACATATAGCGTAGATATTCTCGGTGCTTAAATGCATGAACGCTCCGATCCATGGTTATATGCAATCAGTTAACCATGTGTGCTTTATATTCCAGGCCAACAGTACTTTTGAAGATATTATCGAAATACAGTCGTTTGCCCTCGCATGGTTGGAAAGTTCTGAAATTCTGTCAGATCTCTTTGGAAACACAGAGGAACTGGAAGACCTGAAGGTAGATGAGTTATATGATTTGCATATTAGTTTGACACTAGACATATTGCTTAGTTGATTTGAATTTAATATAAATTGGCATCCCCATCATGTTCATGTTGATACAAAAAAGATCTCACACACTCTGTTTAGTAGCACCTCAACCTACAAATGTGTTTAATAGACCATATATTCTTGGTGTTAGATATATAGCCCCAAATGACCATGTTTTCACCAGCAAGTCCTGTATATTGCTTGTCAGATTCTTAGCTATTTCATACTAAGAGGAAGTTCCATTATAGCTATTATATAGCGGTCCTACTAATTAACGCATGGGCACCTGTGGGACTGTCCAGACATGCATGGGAAGGAACGGGGGGAAATAAGTTACATGTGGGGCAGCGACAGGAATCCTTGTACTGTATATAAAATGTTTGTTTATGCTCAAAATTTAAAACAGAGTATATAGGTATATAGGTATACAAACTTGCAAGTACTGAATTGTCATTTGATGCAAGCTTGAAATAAGGTGTAGGACTGTAGAATGGGATTCTATAGCAATGTAATTATATAATGTCAACAGAAACCTGCTTCAATGCTGGCTTAATTTGAAAGAGTACATGCAATATGCATAAATTATATAAATATACTAGAAGTGCATGTAACAGTTGCTTGTATTATTTATTGGATCATTCAAAATATAATTTATTCTCACTATAGACACACCTTGGTTATTTAAAGCGAAAGGATCGTCACCCAAGCAACGATAACAACACACGCTAAAAACGCAAAGGCTCATGGGAAGACGCTTTGTAAATGCATTGTTTGTAAACAATGACACGCTATGGCCATATGGCACACGCGCAGGTGACGACTCCCACGCTTTAATGTGAATGCCTATGGTGAAACTAAGTTGTAGTTTGATGATCAACTATTCAGTAAAATGCAATTTTTACTTTTATTGACAGCGCGTTTGAAATAGAGCAAATATGCTACTTACATGTATCTTGATTATTTTATTATTCAGGCTACGCTTCAGAATCCTTTTGTTAGCAATCTTCTTGAAAACCAAGCCGGTTTGGCAATCGATACCCTCTTAGATGCGTTGGATTCTGGATTAGTTGACGTATTCAGTGGTGACGTCAGAAAGGAAATTGATACTTTGGCCAGCGCTGTGGTGGATTTCTCTGAATGTATTGAGCTGGACAGATTTGAGCCTTACGCCACGGAAGAAGAGTTAGAAGCTCGGGCTCGAGAACTCGATAGTGAAAACAAGATGCTGGCCAGTAAGTGGAGCATGTGACTAATTTTGTAAATTAGCATATTTTGATTTTACTTTATATTGGTGAAAATAACCAAATTAAAAACCAGCAAATAATGTGTTTACAGTTACGGTACTTTTTGTTATATATTATACAGCTTCAATCGTCTATTGCATTTTTACTGTTTTATATTCATAGAAATAAAATGCATACCTCCCTGGTTACTGTTCTGAGAAATTAAAGTTAACTTTCTCACCACCAGACTTTCTCGCCAAATTATTCTGCACTTTTTTCTTAAATTCTTCAATCTTACTGGAAATGAACTCTAATTTTGGAGTCAACAGACAAATCTGAGTCAATTTTCAGTTTTTACTCAAAAACATTTTCTATTTTTGTCCTAATCTTCTGGAAGAAAGTGCAGACTATAAATAGGACTATTTTGTGAATTTGTGGTGAAAAGGTTAAAAAAACTGAAAATTTGTATATTCTTTCGAAATTAACACTTATTGATTTGTAGTAAATCCTGCACATGCAAACTGTCAAATGTTTTTAATAAATACAGAATTACAATAATTCATTAGAAGGGTAATAACACTATTTTCATCTGAACAACTTTAGGTATAGTTTTCACCAACCTTGAAGACCAAGATACGTTGCCACCTCATATCAAATACAAAATAAGAATGGATATTGACAATACTCCAAAGACAGATAGAGTAAAAGAACAAATATGGCGTCCAGGACCCAGTGACGATTTTATCAATGATCAGAGATATCTACGTGGGTTTGTATATTTACAAGACATGGTTGACAGAGCAATTATTAAATTACAGAGCGGTGAAGAATCGGGTGACATTGGTGTTTACTTCCAACATGTACCGTATCCATGTTACACCTTTGACTTGTAAGTAATAATTCAGTCATTAGTATTTAATTGCATTAATTACATTAATTTTCTAATTGAGTTGGAGTCCTGAAATTACCTGGTGATTTTTGGCAGCACACTAGCACTTAATATTTTTATGATGACTATAAATGTTTTTTCTTGATCAGCTTCACGCATTACGCAGCATACCTGTTACCGCTTTTCCTGACTCTGAGCTTTGTTGCTAATATAGCTATTATGACGTTCAGTCTCGTTTATGACAAAGAACATGGTCTAGAAGAGGTAGGTTTGTTTTTCTGGTTGTTCATTCTGCAGTGTATTATAACTTTATACTTGAAATGATGACATGGTACACATTACAAATTAACACTCATAAATTGATGACATGGTACACATTACAAATTCACACTCATAAATTGATGACATGGTACACATTACAAATTCACACTCATAAATTGATGACATGGTACACATTACAAATTCACACTCATAAATTGATGACATGGTACACATTACAAATTCACACTCATAAATTGATGACATGGTACACATTGAAAATTCATACTCATAAATGGATGACATGTACACATTGAAAATCCATACTCATAAATTGATGACATGGTACACATTCACAATTCATACTCATAAATTGATGACATGGTGCACATTCACAATTCATACTCATAAATTGATAACATGGTAGATATTGAAAATCCATACTCATAAATTGATGACATGGTACACATTCACAATTAATACTCATAAATTGATGACATGGTACACATTCACAATTAATACTCATAAATTGATGACATGGTACATGTTCACAATGCATACTCATAAATTGATTACATGTACACATTCACAATTCATATTCATAAATTGATGACATAGTACACCTTTAGAATTCAGACATTCTTATTCTTATTTCTGACTGGTATCTTTGTTTCTTGACAGCTGATGAAAGTGATGGGTCTCCGCGGAGGAATAAACTGGTGGGCATGGTTTATCAACAACTTCCTACTCATTATATTTTCCGAACTCATGCTGGTTCTTATTTTTAAAGTTGGCAGGATTCTCATCCACTCAGATGCCATTATACTCATATTATTCCTTCTGTGTTTTGGATTCTCTTTAATGTGCTTGTGGTAAGTATAAGTGCCAAAGTCAATTTTTGTCACCATTCACCAAAATTAAACCCATCATTTTTTTAAAAACATTTTGATCAAGACATAAAATTATCTCTATGGTCCAAAATTAACAAAGAAGTTCTAGAAAAAAATCGTAAAATTTTGCAAAATTGGGAGAATTTGTGGCATTCAAAGGGGATCGTCACCTGCACACACGCAGGAATTGAGTCTGAAATGCAAAGGCCAATGGGTAGATTTGTAAACAAGGATATATGTCTTAAATGTGATTTACATTGTCTGGTTTGTAACAGCTTAATACTGTTTAAATCAGGCTTTAAAGCAAGGGAGTCATCACCTACGCATGCGTCAGATGGCCATAGCATGTCATTGTTTACAAACAAGCGTCTACCCACGAGTCTTTGCGTTTTTAGCATGCGTTGTTATCATCGCTTGGGACTCAATTCCCGAGCATGCTCAGGTGACGACCCTCTCCCCTTTAAAGTTGCATTCTCGCTCTGTATGGTCTGCAGTAAACATCATAAAAGCTTTGGATTTTGCACAGTTTCTGACAAATGTTATTCAACAAAACCCTGAAATCATGTTTTCGAAACCCCTCCAGCAATTATATACAAATAGCTTCTTACAAATAACAACACCAACAATTATTTGGTCATTAGACACTTAGTTTCAATACTCCAATATTTCAGGATTCATTACCATTCGACAGATTTTATCACTTCCCATGGTGATCACAATGTCAGGGGTATGTCTTCTGCTTATAGTACAAAGAGGGAATGCAACTTTAATATTATTAGTCAATGACATAGACATTTACACACAAATCTTTTCATTTATTTCAGTTATTACATCAGTGCATTTTTCCAGCGAGCGACAATGGCTGGCTTATCAGCCATACTGATATATCTGCTCACTTACCTGCCATATGTATTGGTTGTCGCTTTGGAGGGTCAACTCAACTTCTGGCAGTCAACACTGATTGTAAGTAGGTCACCGAGTGGTGCAAATGTAAAATTAGCCACTATATCTTTGAATAATAATGTTCGTAAATTACATGTATTTACAATGCACCGTATAGGTTATGAGACCAGTATTACAGCCTAGTTACTATCAACACCCACCCATCAACATACATCCGACCCATGCACATCTCGACCACCATCACACTCTAAATTAAATTGAATAGTTGTTGCAGTTCGGGACATTACGGAAAGAGCATCAAATATCTGCTCAATCGTTTTCAACCAATTCCCAATCAAAGAATGTACATACATTCTGGATTTACATGTAACTTCCCCATCTGCCTTCACAATGAAAACATTGAGAAATGATTGTGAAAGGAATAAGACATTCAACAGGAATGGCAGAACAGATTTTATAATGTCTTCTCCAACTGCAATGAAGTGTCATATTGTACTATGACCTGCAGCAATAACTGTATATGGCTTTTAACACTCCCCTGTCTTTGCATAGTGTCTGTCGACCACCACCTCGCTGTGTTATGGATGCAGCTTACTGGCCATCCTAGAAGAACAGGGTTATGGAATACAGTGGAGCAATATCGACCAAACGCCGATTGAAAGCGGCGTAATCACGTTTTATTGGACCTGTGTCATGATGCTCATTGATGGCGTTATCTACCTCATCATTGGTTGGTATGTCAAGAATATTAATCCCGGTAAGTTATGTGTGACCAGTTGAACACCATAGTTTAGTGTTATGTAGTGACAAAATTCATTTTGCTTTCATTTGAAAACAAACTAAATTGACTGGTTTGTCTCATGATAATAGCATAGTGCTTGCCAGTGTATGATATACAGTGAACTATTTCATTTTCTCTGCGAGGAATTTTGAAGATTTCAAGTTTTTATGGCATTCGAAAGTCGGTGACATTCGGTGTCATAATATTCCAGAAAATGTTCACTGTGTCAAAATTATGTGTTTTGACTTGTGATTTGCCTCATGTACGCCGTCTGTGGTCTCTATTAAAATAACACTGTGCTCTATTCACTGAGCTCAATTGAGTAGAAGAGTTCCTTACGATGAATATTTGACGGATTTAAAATTATTAATACAGTAGCTGATCGTTTTATTTAGTGATATCGAACCAAACATAAACATGGCCTTGTATGGAAAATCCTTGATTTAGCCGTTTTTGTGCATCCACCCAGCTGTTAAGACACAGAATGTTATGTTTTTATTATAGGACGTTATGGAGTGCCTCGTCCATTCTACTTCCCATTGATGCCATCATACTGGTGCAGCTGCTGCATTGGGAGTAGCGGAAGTAGTCACGACAAGTACAGACCAAGTGACCCCGCGGTGCAAGCCCACTCAAACCCAATTTATGACCTTGAAGGAGTGGAAGGTATAAAATTCATTAATATTATTTTGTTATTATTATTGTATGTGTTTCTTTGACTTCAACTATAATTTTTTTTGCGCGATTATGGCTATGCTATGAGATGTTGTTTAGTACTGATCCTATATAATATATATCTTGTGTAGTTACATTAAGAATTTTCAAGCCAAAGATTATCATTATTATGCTCTCATCATTATGGGTTAAAATCATTTGGGATACCAAAAAATAGAGGAAAAAATGGGGTCAGCACGCACAAGTCAGAAATGTCATAGAAAGTGGTCAAAATTTGCATTTTTATGCTGGATTCTATGATGAAATGATAGTTCTACCCAGGACAATATATAAACCTGTGGTACTATCATTGTCAACTTGCATGTTAATTTGCCGATGTACATGTGTGAATTTCATGTACTTTTAAAAATAAAAAATGATGCCAAGTTTAGATAAAACTAATTATGCTAATTTGTATGCAAATTAGCCACAGTGCTTAAATTTTGGGGGACCAGGAATTATTTCCATTTTTTATATCAATTCGTGAAATTTTGCTCAGTATATATATATATATATATATATATATATATATGTAATATATATATAATAATTTCCTATTATATACAGTGGGAAGGTCTCTCATAATGCATTGCATATACATTTATGTGCAGTAATATGCTCAGTAATCTAAAATATGAAGTTATCTCCCATAATGCATTGCATATATGTGCAGTAACATTCTCAGTAGTACAAAATTTTAATTTGTCTCAAAGTGTTTCAAGACTTACTTACCATACATCAGATATTTATATTAGTTAAGCACACGTACATGTCGCCCCATATTTACTAATTAACACTTTATTACCTCATTCAGATGGGGAAGGAATCGAACAACCACCTGTTGGGTTAAATGTCGGAATATCGGTGGATGGGTTAACAAAGAAATATTCCAAGACCAAAAGTCTCAATGACTTGAGCTTAGACTTTTATGAAGGACAGATTACGTCATTCCTAGGACATAACGGAGCAGGCAAGACAACCACAATGTAAGTCTGTATTTTACATAAAGAAACACTGTTAACATGATTCTGTGGTGAATTGTCTTTTCTCACATACCTCACTTTTTGGTTTATTTGTACTATAGATCAATCATGACAGGAATCATTCCACCATCGTCTGGCACTGTTTACCACTACGGTGTTAACGTCAGACATGTTGACAAGGTGCGAAAGAATCTCGGAATGTGTCCTCAACATGACGCCCTCTATGATGAGTAAGTATACGTACTGGATATATATGCCTCGCTTACTCTAATACTTTGTCGTCACAAAATAAATTCATATACCATATGTGCATATTAATTAGGTAATTTGCATATCATTAACCCTTTGAGCACCAAAGCCAACTTTTGTCACCATTCACAAAATAAATCTATTTATGCTTTTCCATATTTATTTTCAAAAATTTTCATCAAGATCTGTAGACGTTTAATAAAAAATTAAGTCCAATTTTTGAAAAAATTAAAATGGTGCACACAAATTTTGCTGGGAAACTTTGTGGCATGCAAATAGTTGAAATAATTTGAGACAAGACAGACCAATTTTGTTTTTTTGTAAATTTATTTGGATGTTTTTTCAAACAGTATGATATAACCAATGAAATAGCATGGGTAAAATTCATGCGATCAAGAAACAATTTAATCAATCGATTTCAAATCCTAAAACATTAAAAACTGTATTCACTCGTATTCACTAATCAATTGGGTGGCTAATCATTGACTACTGATGGAAATTTGAAGAAACCTAGCTCAAGTCGACTGGTGTGTGTGTTCGACAAGGCCTTGTTGATACTGGGATAGCGAATTTAAGCTGCCATTTTGATTGAGAGACTGCCGCAGATTTTATTCTAAAGTTGTCATTGGGGTCTACTATGTTTTATATCAGCGAAATGTGTATCACAATATGTTCTTTGTGTTGTGTCTGATTTCAGCCTGACCGTGGCAGAGCATCTAAAGCTATATGGCAGAATAAAAGGATTCAGTAAATTAAAGATCAAAGAAGATACAGAGGAGTAAGTTTAAATAAATTATGTATTAGAAGTATGTATGAATGCAGTATGGCGGTCATATTGAAGGACACGTTGTGGAGGTCAATGTGATCTCTGTACTGCGTGATTTAATAGTTTGATACGAGATAATAGTCAAAAATGCCTTCGAAAAATGTTTTGTGCTGTGTGCACATCTGATTCTATTTACATTACACGTTAAAGCACTTCTGTGTTTAAAGTTAACAAGGAAAATCTTTGATTATGATATAAACTGGATCATACCTTTATTTATAATAATTTATTCATCTGTTTGCTTATTATATGATGACATATTCCCTGTCAACTTTTTTTCATTTCATCCCAGGATTCTTGAATCTGTTGGTCTACTCTCCCATATTAATAAAAAAGCAGGACACCTTTCTGGCGGCATGAAGCGTAAGTTGTCGGTGGCCATAGCATTCTTTGCCGGTTCACGCACTGTGATTCTTGATGAGCCTACCAGTGGGGTGGACCCAATGGCGAGACGTGGAATCTGGGACTTGATTCTGAAATATCGCCAAGGTAAGAGTTGGACCATTATTTCTGTGGGTTTTGTCAAGTGGGAGGGGCATGGGGGAGTTTACAACTGACACACAGTATCTAAATATACATCCCCCTAAGAAATAATAATTTAGTACAATTGTAATATTGGTATATGTAATATGTCTTCGAACAAATGTGGGATATTTGCATTTACATAAATGACCGAGTTGTGTCTATAATTGTCAAAGTGAGTCATAGTTTTACTTTGTCTGTACCATCATCATGGTTATCTTGCTGAACTATTATTTTTAGGAACTTTTGTGCAATTCAAGTTATATTATTCTATAAGAGACATTGAGATTAATACAGTACATGTAGTATAATGAATATTAATTAATTTTTTTATGGAATTTCATGTTACTAGTATTTGATTTCGGTTCACACTGGACAAGGTTGTAATAGTTTTGCTATGTTAATTAGCCTGTATAAATACAATTATAAATGATGAACACTTCTATTATGAAAATACGTCACCCTGATTCTATATCTTCACTTCAGCGTTCTTTCATTAAGTAGAGCGTTATGTTCGTTTTTACATTAACAGATCGGACAATTATTCTCTGCACTCATCATATGGACGAAGCAGATTTCCTCGGCGACAGAATAGCCATCCTTGACCATGGTCAGCTCCGTGCTTGCGGTTCATCTCTGTACCTGAAGAGCAGGTACGGTCAGGGTTACAGACTCACATTGTCCAAGAGTGACAGTCTCAAGTCTACGCCAGAGAAAAAACGGAAGGACACAGTTCTTACCTTTGCAAAAGAGAATGAGTACGAATCACTGAAAGATGCAGCAAGCTCTACTGGATCTACAAGTGGAGTATCGACTGCAGGTAGGGTGAAATAGACATTAGTTATGTCTGGAGTTCATTATTTTGTTGGCCTGTGTAATCTAGAAAGTTACCTAATTTAAGAATGCTTTCTGTTCACCTCAAATTGACATAGTGACATAATTTGTAACTAATTAAATCCTGCATCCATTTTGGGATTCTCCTTGCTTATTCATCTATGATCCGCGGGGAGCTGAACACCATAGTTGGGAATCAAAATTTGAAAATTCAAACTAAACCTGTAGGTATTCGATAACAGATTCTATCATTATTACAGAAGTATCTTATCACTGGAAAATAAAAATCTTTTAAGATGCACAATCAGCTGACACCGACAGGATCAACTCTCATTGTTGACTTACAGACAACGTCATTAAAAAAATGAAACGTTCGATTGAAATGAAACTTTGAATATAAGTTAATAATTAATTTGATGTATGAAAACTTCTGATATATTTCCGTAAAAACTTCAAATTTGAGCCAAATAGTTGAATAAAAGCTGTCTGCTATCTATCTGCATGTATCTGCAATCTCGCTTCTGTGTACGAGCTGTATTATGACGTAATAGACACACATAATTGGTATATAGATTTACAAGTATTTCATTGCAAGGGCATAGAAATACAAAAAAAATGTCCAAATTTTAAGCAAATATAGTTATAAATAAATTATTTCTTTGTTTCTTTTGCAGAAGGTAGCTGTGACACAAATATTGTTACTGATTTCATTCAAACAAGGATACCAGCCGCTAAACTGTCTGAAGACGTGGGTTCTGAGTTGACATATTCGCTTCCCACCACTGGAGGGCAGTTAGCAAAATTCGAACAACTATTCTGCGATTTGGACGAAAGTCTGGATTCATTACACCTGTCCGGATATGGAGTTTCTGAAACAACACTAGAGGAGGTAAGTTAACTATGCCTTTTAGAATGTTTATTTGGAGGGTGCAGATTTAATTTTTAAATTAATGGTATGGTGACTCTTACAACAAGATATGTTTGTATGTATTTTTCATCACCAGTTCTCTATTTTCATCACAAACTCACAAAATAGTCCCGTTTATAGTCTGCACTTTCCTTCAAAAGATTAAGACAAAAATAGCCAAAAAACTGAAAATTGACTCAAGTGTTGTATGTTGGCTCCAAAATTAGGGTTCATTTCCAGAAATATTGAAGAATATAAGATAAAAAGTGCCAGACAATTTGGGCAAGAAAGTCTGGTGGTGAAAAGGTTAAACCACAAATGATACTCAAATATTAAAATTGATAATAAACATTGTTGCCCCCTTGCTGCATTCCAAAAATTTAATAAAAATTATTTATTTATCTTTTAGTATATTTTCACATTTATTTATTTGCCAATTCACCACTGATAGAAATTTGTATTTTTAAAGATGCATATATATTATATTATTATTCCTGCAGGTGTTCCTGAAACTTTCGGGTGTGCGAGGTGATGGAGACGATGTCAATGACTTGTCTAAACCTGATACGGCCGGTACTAAACCCAATGGGGACGAGGAAAAGGTAAAGGAAAATTGGAAACTAAGACGCTGGGACACAGACAACAGTGATATATCATATTCAAGTGCAAGTGAGAAAGAGAACAACGAAATAGGTAACAAATAATAGTGTTTAAATATATGATTGTATTGTACAGCATGTGGTGAAATTAAATGCACAAGAAAACAGCAGTCACCCTATTAATACATGGCATGCTGAGAGCCTGCAGTGATAGCTGAATGAATGAATGAATGAATGAATGAATGAATGAATGAATGAATGAATGGCATATAATGGCGTCAGTAGGTCAGTAGGCAATGTGCGCCTCTTGCAACATTCGCGGGAACATATTACCAGCAGTGTTTGTTTTGACGTTGCTTTCACTTGTTGAAAAATAATAACACTCTTTTGCATATCAAAAATCTTGATAAATGTAGACAGGAGTGTTCAAATTATGAAATGAAATTGATTTGTTCGTTATAATAATAATTCATGTTAAAATGTTCTTGCACGATTTTAAATATTTCATGCTTTTCACTCAAAATATGATTTTGTTTTTTAATTTGAAAATGGTTTGATTTTATACTCACTGTGCTTTTCTAGTTTTGTGAAAATTGTTTTGTCCAGAAGCATCAACTTGTTGGGATTAAAAGTGTCAAAGTTAAAACAAACAATGCTGACTGTTTTTCTAGGAATATTGCAGTTACAAGTGAAACTGCAATGAGGATAGCAGCTTTTTCTGATCAGATTGTGTTGACATCTGCTATATGAATATTAGTATGTTTTCAAATGAATGGCCTTGGTACTTGAAATAAAACATATTCACATCTTATGTCTTTTTGTTGTCTGTGTCTTTACAATTTTTTTTTTACCTCTGCTTATCATATGAGTGATCGTCCATCGTCCGTGTCAATGTTTTACTTTTTCGACTTCTTCTTGAAAACTACAAGCCGGAATGCTTTGATACTTGGTGTATATATACCTTGGGTAGACCTCTCTCAGATTTGTTCATTTTGTAATGATATCTTCAATTCTCTAATTTTGGTGAATATTTTTGTCATTTTTGGTAAAAAGTGATATTTTCGACTTCTTGTTAAAAACCGCAAGTCCAATTGCTTTGATACTACATATATAGGTACCACATGTGGACCTCTCTCAGATTTGTTAATTTCGTGGTGATATCTTCAATTAGCTAATTTTGATGATTGTTTTTGTCATTTTTGGTGAAAAGTGATATTTTTAATTCTTGTTGAAAACAGCAAGTTCCATTGTTTTGATACTATACATATTGTTCATTTTCTAATGATATCTTCTGTTCTTTAATTGAAATGTGCATTGCTAACAGCGGAGCTATCTCAGCCGACTGGCTGCTTGTTTAAAACACTCATTCTTTCATGTTATATAATTATTGTAGGTGAGAAAAAGGGAAAGAAGAAGAAAGGTGCAAATGAACGTGTCTACATTGGTCCAGCCCTGGGATTAAGACAGATGCGTGCTATGCTTACAAAACGTTTCCATCATGTCAAACGAGATATCAAGGGATACTTCTGGACTCTTATCATGCCAGCCATCTTGATAGCCATTGCATTAATTTTCACAAAGATGACTCCACCTGTAGATTATCCAGCACTTCAGCTGACACCGGCAATGTACCTCGATCCTAACCATGTCTTCTACAGGTATATGTAGTTGAGTTATAAATTGAATCATTACAACTAAACTATCTAATTTAGCAGGCAACCATTAGAATTATCAGGTAGAGGTTGGCCTCTAAGCTGATATGATGTACCACTGATGCACACAGATTTGCTGTGACACAACTAGTTGTCCCAATTCATTGGCGTGTAATCGACAAAACAGACAATCATACATTGTTACTATAGTAATCTTGAAAAAACAAAACAAAACATTTTTTACATGTAGATATCAAATTTGTATTTTGGATAATTAGAGACCAGCGTGCCCTCAAAGCCATATGTCATGCCACTGACACACAATGATTTGTTGTGCTAATTAATTCACTGACGCGTCATTGACACAACAGAAAATTGTACATTGGTATAGTGAACTTCTAAAACTTCTGTAGTTATGGAATTTGAAATTTGATAATATGAAACTCACTTTTTATAAACAGAATAAATGTAAAAACAAAGAAAATCAGGGACCACAAAATTTTTTGTGTGTGCCTCAATTCAATTTTGCAGTCACATACAATTTTGTATTTTTTTCTTGAAGACTGCCCTCCCCAACAGTCAACGAGCTGACTAACTTGATTTTGGGGTTTTCTATTTTAACTCAATTCCCACAAAATCAGTCCTGTTAGAGAGCACACAGATCGGGGTAGGGCAATTATTGAAAAACCACTCAGCACTAAGACAGTTTTGAGAAAACAAATCCAGCTGGAATAATTAAAAAAACAAAAACAATACTTATAAAAAATACATAAAAACATGCCCATTGAATAGAAAAAAAAATCTTGCTCAAGTGGAGAGAAAATTTATTTTTATTTTATCCCAGTTATTCTAATTGTCAAGAATTAAAGCTTTGTTAGATTGTGGACTAATGGTTTCACTCAAAGTAGAGCTATTATATTAACTCCTACCATCTTATTTTATGTATGAACATTTTAAACTAATGCAAAATTATTATTCAAATCACTTTCAGTAATTACAAACCAAACGATCCAGTGACACAGACTCTAGTGAATTCATTCCTGAGTCCACCAGGTATCGGCACAACGTGTATGGCAGACGCTGATGAAAAGTAAGTGCATTAGCTTTGATAAAGCTTGACGCAATGTTGAATCAACGTGGATGTGACAACATGCACGACATGTAGGCGAATACTATACCACAGTACATGTGAAAACTTATGAAAACTGTTATTATTAATAATACTTTTTTAAATATTAGTTTAAACATTAATTTACCCTTGAAAACTACTTTTAACTGACGGCATTATAATTTAATACACTGATCGGTCAAATTAAAATGAAACAAGAAAATTAAAGTATTTTTTATTTTTGGAAGAGTAATTTCTTATGCCTGTGAGTGCAGCAAAAACATAGCTTCTTTCTGAGTTCACCTGAAAGGCCTTTTCACAGGGAACTGTGGGGGGCTCCAGACTTTAAAATGAAATGGGTCTATTGGCATATCTTCTTTAACTCAATAGTAATTTTTCACTACAGGTTAAATTTTTTTTTAGAGAATAATGAAAATTAATTATGCAAGGTTACTTGTGAAACTTGACAAAAGTGGACTTTGGCATTCCAAACGTTGAACTAGGTCAAACAATTTTTGCGTTTTAATGGGGAATGTATCCACCTATGACAATGTGTCTTGTTGTACATTAGTTTGAGTTCCCTATTAAATGCTTCATCATTTCTCAGTTGTATTTATTATTGTTATGTTACAGAGACAAGTACCCATGTGTTTTTACGGAACGTGGATTTGACATAAACGTGGCAAGCCTTACACCAACACAAATCCAGGCTATGCAGCTGAAAGACCTCAACGCTCCAAACTGCACATGTGAAGGCGGAAAGCAGACATGCCCAGAAGGTTCTGAAGGCGCCGCTGTCCCCGAGTGGATCACGAACACATCATCAATACTGCAGGATTTGACCTTTAAGAAAGATATCAATGATTATTTATTGCGCACAAACGGCGATTACATCGATGCAAGATACGGCGGTCTAACCTTTGGTAACACACAAGAAGACAGTACTGAACCTCTGAATATTGAAAAGGTTAGTATGGATTACTGAGCTACCTAGCTAAGCACATAAAATATTATTATCTGACTTGTGCAATGACCCGAAACTGGAATCTTTCATCCTGGAAAGTCCTGGAAAATGAATAATCAACATGCATGAACAGCCATGTTGCAACGTGGTCTATCAAAATCACTTTTCAAAGAAATAGGTCGTTTGGACAATCATTGTAAAAAAAAAGCCAGCTGTATTATTATGGGTCACTGTAATTCCAAGAACACAAAAAAAATATGTTGTAAATATAAAATAGTTCTGAAAAAGACTCCTGAAAACTGATGAAAAATGTCTGAGCATTCTATTTCAATTCAGGTGTATGAAAACTGATAATTTTAACATTTAATTCGTTTATTATCAAAATTCTTATAATTAGTGTTAACAGTTGTTGCTTGCATGAATGGCCGTTCTTTTAATTGGACACATTTACAAACTTGATATCAGTGACATCATATGTTTTCCAAATGTTCACTTTGAGAGCTATGGCTCTGTCACACACAAGTCGGTAACTGTCGGGTCCAATAGTTTATTTACTCTTCAAGGCAAATATTGTATAATTCATTTTCACCTTTTAATCTTGACAAAACTTGAAGCCATTAATAACTACACTGTGACATAATTATTACTTTATGCATGTGACTATTTACAGGTTTGGTACGATAACAAAGGTTTTCACTCGTTGCCCACATTCCTGAACGTGATGAACAACGTCGTACTTCGCTCTAAAGTAAAAGACAATGGTGGCGATCCGACCATATATGGTGAGTAGAAATGAAACTTATAAATTCGGTCATAAAATTATGGGATATGAAGGACAAAAATGATGAGATAAGACATAATTCATGGGACTGTAACTATGTCAACCGTGCATAGGATTCTGCATTTCACAGTGTGACACCAGTAATGCATTGTGGGAATTATCCATTTAACACCATAAATGTTCCCGCTGAAATGCTGGTGTACATTTCTTTTGTACATTTCTCTGTATTTTCTACAATATCTTTGTTAATTTTAGAAAATTTTTGACAAAATATACATTTTCCATTATTTTAAAATTATTGATCAAATTAGTTCAGTTTTAATCAGTAAAAGATGATGTGTAGATATCCTTCAAAAAATTACAAATACACACCAAAGATGAAGAATGTGTAAACCTTATACCATATTTGCTCTATTAGTTGCGCATGCACTTACCTAAATGACAGAGGTGTGTCTGTAGTCAAAATAAATCATATTTCAATGATCCAGTATGAATTTATTGTTCATTTACATGCGATTCTATTAAAGGCAAATATGGTATGTTAATGAATTGCTATGTTTTGGTATAAATATGAGCCTTTATCCATATTTTAAAAAATTAATTTTAATAGCAGGTTTTTAAAGTAACAGTGATAAATATATAAATGTAAAGCATAATCTCAAAGTGCGTTATATCAAAGACAATCTCTTTCTAATGTCTTTGGTTATATAGCAAATTGAGTATATTGAATACTAATGGTTGTTTTGTTTGTAATAGGTATTACCACGTACAACCATCCTCTCAGGATGACTAAAGAGCAACTCAGTGACGACGATATGTAAGTTTAGTTACATTTACATACATTTTAGTGTTGTACTTTTCTTTCTTGAATATTCTCGTGATTAAATACAATTCTGGGTACCCTAGTAACTAAGTACCCAAGCCAGTGAAAAGGAGGGGGTGTCACGCAGATTTTGTATTTGTTGTATTTGTTGGAATTAATAAAGAACAAGAATTTAATTATTAAATAATCCACTCTTTCTATCCTGGAATCTACACTGCATATTCTTAGAAACATAGCAGTCCGAAAACTCAAAACTCATCACAAAAATGAGTGAATCTCGTGTTTTATTAAGTAGTGACCATTAGTTCTAAGGCCAATATTAGCATTTTTGTTGGTATACCTAGATTTTTCATGCTGACCCTGTATCTTTTCATGGCCATTAGAGGAAGCAGATCACTTCCTGTTTTTATCTGCATGCTAGACAAACTTTTCACACGTAAATGTTGAGTCAAATGTGTATCATTATCATCTTTTATAAAAAATTCAATATAACAGTGCTCCTGTATATCAGTATGGTCCAATATGTCCAAGAGTCTCAATTGCAAGATTAATTAAAATAAAAATATGAAAAAATGAAAGTTATACCTTGTGACCTACCAACCCTATTTTTCGGTGTTATCGGAAACATACTATTTCATTTGGCTTAATTGATTTCAGGTCCAATTATATAATATTTTCAGTGATAATTCTGACCATCAATGACAAAGTACTAGGAATAATTGATCTGTTTTTGTACTTACACAGACTTGAATTAGCCCGGGAATACGGTGTGATGATTGTCATTGTCTGTGCGTTCTGTCTTGTGCCGTCAAGTTTTGTTATGTACCTGGTGATGGAGAACATGCGTGGTATTAAACGGCTGCACCTGGTCAGTGGAATGTCGCCGGGAATGTACTGGTTTGCTAGCTACATCTGGGATCTGGTGAGTACTGTAAAATATTTTTTAACTTTGCACTAGGCAAATTTGTCATGAGTTTTGTGACTAAGTGAAAATCATAAAATTTTTGTAGCAGGGAAAATTACTCTGCGTTATGTATTTTCATGTTCATTTCATTTCATTTCATGTTGGATTTCTGTATAGTTTTTGAAAATTTAAAATTGTTTAATGTCAATTCTTTAGATCAACTATTTGCTGCCTACTATATTATGCATTATACTTGTGTTAGCCTTCGATGTTAAGTCGTACTGTTCTGAAGATAACCTACCTGCGTTTGTTACCATTATACTGTTATTCGGGTAAGTAAGCAGGAGTTCAGTCATTGTTTGAACAAACGATTAGAGTGTATCTGTATATAGACATCAGGGCCAGAAAATATGCTAGCCTGATGACTGCGACAACTGAAAAAATTGCACGAACAGTGGGCTGGCCACTAATTTAACACAGTTGTTTCAACCATGTTAATGGATGTACAGTATTATAAATTTGGCTCATTACATATATTGTATATTAATGTTTTGCTGTCAACTAATGGAAACTGACTCAACAGATTTATTCTTATTACTATTTTTATTATGTCAATCAAACAACATTCATTGTAAAAAAAATGTTTGTTTTTTTCTTTTTTAAATCTTTTGAAGGGAAGGATGTGATTTTCACCACCAGACTTTCTCGCTCAAATATTTCTGCACTTCTTTCTTATATTCTTAAATATTTCTGGAAATGAACCCTAATTTTGGAGCCAACTGACAATATCTGAGTCAATTTTCAGTTTTTTACACAAAAGATTTGCAAGTTTGCATGAAGGCAGTATAACAATCAAATCAACAAAAGTGTTCAAATGTGACAGCAGTAATCTTAAATTGTTTTATCATTTCACAGATGGGCGATTATTCCACTCATGTATTTGTGTTCCCGTATATTCAATGATGCGGCAACCGCATTCATTGTATTATTCTGTGCAAACTCACTCTTAGCAACACTGACGAATATATTTAAGCTGATCCCAACCTCAGATGTAAGTATAAATACTGTAGAATACTTTATTTTCGCTTGGAATTTATTTTCGCTATTTTCGCTGGAGGGATAATTCCGTGAAAATAAAATCCAGCGAATATACTTTTTTTCCTATATTTCACATTAAACTCATCAAAAATCAGTGAAAATAAATTCAATACAAAACGCCCAAAAAGCCTTTTTTTAGCGAAAATTAATTCCAGCGAAAATAAAGTATTCTACAGTATTTTTTTGCATTTAAATCCACTTTGGGATATTCCTGTAAAGGAACAACAAACTAGGAATAAAGGAAAAAAAAAAAAGAATGAAACAAATATATTGTAAATGAATTAATGTTAACTCAATTAGTATTTTGTCGTATTAATTTTCCAGAATGAATATTACCGGTAGTTTTTCTTCATCTGTTTTGTTTTAAGCTTGTTTATGAAAAGTTTTCTTTCATGCTTGTAAAGATTGCATTCGAAAGAGTTGGTCTTTAATGTTTTGATTATTACAAATAGGTCATTTTCTTTATGATAAATTTCATATTTCTGCCCAATTCAATTTATAAGACATCAATATGCAATGGCAGTTTCACAGTTCATGCTCAAATTTCATATAAATACTGTACTAGTAGATTACATGTGTTGTATACATGTACATCGATATGGGAACTTTATTAAACAGGATTTTTCATGAGAAGCACTGCCTTTAATGTAATGTAAAACATACATCTACACTCTATAATCCATAACATTTGTATTCATTTCAAAGTGATCTTACTTTTATGTTAGGATCGGAGGGATTAGGTCCCAGGCTTCATTCGTTCACACTCACTATGTTGAGAGAGTTGTAAATTCAGTGCTTTGTTGTATATACTGTCTGTGTACATGTGATTCTAGATTCTCTCTGTCATCGATTGTGTCTTTAAATTTTACTGGGTAATAAATACTAACTAACATTTTTCTTTGATGTTACAGAAAATGAACGAAACGCAAGCTTTATGCGAGACCATCTTCAAGATCTTTCCCCAGTTTTGTTTTGCTAACAGCCTGATCCTATTGTCAGATAATCAGATGGTTGCTGATATCTACGCCAGGTTTGACGTGTATAAATACCAAGATCCATTCAGTTATGAAATGTGTGGTTGGCACATGATAGCAATGGCCGTAGAGGGAGCCTTCTTTTTCATTATTGTCTTAATTGTTGAGTATGCAGGCAGGAAAGGTTCGGATGGGTAAGTGGTAACTAAGTGCATCCAAGAAAGGGAACTTCTAACTTGGGCACTATCCGTCAGTCTTTGTGTGTGTTTACATTATTTCTTTAGATGTTTTTCTGCAGATAATAATCAAACTTGGCATCTTGATTAAGAATGAGGTATTTGATCGGTGCCCCCAATTTTTCCCCATTTCTATTATTGGTCGTTTTCATGATTTTGACTGGTAATCACTTTTCACAGAACCCATTAACAAAAGCTGGAACCCATTATAATGTTGATTGCCTAAAAGTGATCTTGTATCTAGCATTGAGTCAATATGGTGTTTCTTCATTTCAGACATAAACCAGGAAGCTATGTGACTGACAAAAGCACGGACAGTGACGTAAATGCAGAGAGAGAGCGTGTATCACGTGGACTAGCGGGCAGAGATCTTGTTCAGCTGAAGAACCTTACAAAGGTATCATCAATATTATTCAAATTAAATAAACCGTTCATATCAGTTGTGCTGGCAATGAAGTGCATCAAATTAGTGTGTCTTTCTTGCGTAGTTATTGCTTCAATCTGTTCATCTATAAAATAAAAGCAGGGTTTTTCTAAACCGGGGAACAGGGACGCAGCGCCCTGATATTCTCGGCTGGCCCCCTCTTACCGAAATTGCCGATTGAACTTTCAAGTCATAAATATATTTCATATGCCGTACAACATGAAATCTTTCTCAAAGATATTTTTCTCTGTGAAAACTTCCCAGCAACAGCAGCTGACAATATGTCTGGACACCAAATACACTAAAATTACTCCAAAAATATTTCAGTGGCCATAGATAAAATGGCGCAGAAACCTCCGATATGGCGTTTCCAGGTTGATCCGCCATGTTGTTTCTGTGCTAGCTACTCTCGCTCCTCTCTTTCGCCTATGTGTGCTCCCTGCTGTTCATTTTTTCTAGAAAAAACCCTGTAAAAGGATTGCTAGATTATGAATGTCAAAACGATCTCACAGAGTTGTTGCTTTTGGCCGAAGTTGCTTACACTCATTTTAATTTTGACGTCACAGAAGTGATTTGTCACAACTCATTGGGAAGATTTATTATCTGATCACTTTAATTTGTGTGTTATCATTTTAATTTAATATTTATAAATCCAAGTGCATTTATGAAATATGCAAATTATTCAAAATCTATCTTTCAGGTTTACCGCACAAGTGCCAAGAGAAATATTGCAGTTGACCATCTAGCCCTGGGTGTTCCTGGTGGAGAGGTAAGTATTAATCAATGGAAACAAGAATCATGTTTTTTTTCTAATTTCAAAGCAGTTAGAAGGTGATTATGAATAAACAGTGAACTTTGAATGTGCTGGGATCCACTTCAAACTCAACACAACACAACTGAACAATCATCGCTTTTCAATATCAAGGATCAACTGAGACTGCATGCACGCAATACTATCTGTACTTTTATTTCTATATATGACAGAAGAATTGTTTTTGTTGCAGTGTTTTGGTTTACTCGGTGTGAATGGAGCGGGAAAAACCACAACATTCAAGATGTTGACTGGGGAGTTGAGTCCAACGGGAGGCAAAGCTATTGTCAACTGTGATAGGTGAGTTAAAGTGTGTAAGATGAGATATACACTATAGTGATGTTCTCACTAGACGAAATAAGCAGTTGTCACAACGCCTTTTATTTGAGAACCTTGTTAAACGTCGTTGTCTTCTTCTCTAGCGTAAAAACACATGGAGAAACAGAAACAAAGCAAATGCATTTACCAGAGGGGACGCCATGTTGTCGATTGATCTTTCCATTTGTTTATTGACCTTCCGTGATATGATTCGTTGTGCGTGCAAAACACCGGTGTTTTTACTAAGTGAGAACGCGAGCAGACAATTCAGCAGATCAGCTAATATTTGCACAACAAAAAAAACAGTGTCAACACCGGCATTTTTTAGACGTGTGAGAACGTAGCTTAAATCCAAGCATTGCACACATGTGGACAGAAATCTATGGTCATGTAAATCAAATATCAACAAGCATTGTTTAAATTGATATGGCATGTTTTATTGGTTACGTTACCATATACTCTCTTCTAGATGCAAGAACATAAACACCAAAAATCACATATGTTCTATAGTAAATCATTAGACTATAGGAAAATTGTGTTAATTCAGTTCCTTGACTCCAAGAAAAACATGACATTCTCTATATCCTTTAGTTGCTCATAAGGCACATAACCTGCTGGTCCCCCTAAGTTTAATATCAAATCTTTACTCATGCCCGATTGGGAAATAATGCATATCCAAATTTAGGCTACCTGTTACCCCTAACCGCCTCAGCATACAACCACTCATAACAAGAGCATGTTAATTTAAGTACCATGCCAATTACAAATTTACTTCAGAATCAGTACTATAATTAATTAATTCTAAAAACAATTCAGAACAATTGCAGCTTTTCTAGGTGTTGTATGTTACAGAAAATTGAATTTTGAATTACCAAAATGGTCTTACTGCCTTTTCACATGCATGGGAAATGGTTTCTCCATCAAAATTGTAATTTGTGCAAAAAAAATGTTGAGCAAGACAACAGTGAATTTTTTAAAATCTCGTATTTTTAGTGACATGAAATTAACCTCATCTCATTTGTATCCATATGCATTTAGTACCGGATATTGTCCGCAAGAAGATGCTCTTGACGGTCTGATGACCGGTGTGGAACACATTTATTGCTATGCAAGAATCAGAGGGATCCAGGAATCACAAGTTAAACAGGTTGCAAAGTGGGCACTGGGGAAGATGCGACTCTCTGACGCTGGCAACAAGCTGGTTAAGAACTACAGTGGAGGAATGAAACGAAAACTATCAACTGCCATTTCTCTTATTGGGAAACCTGACGTTATTCTAATGGTAATGAACATACATAATTTACATAACGACACAACGTAGCGCTAGATCACATGTGAACACTAAAACATAAATGATTATATATTGTGAATTACTTTATTTTAGCTGAAATTAATGTTTGCAGTAAAGACATATTGGCTGTTTTGTATGAATTTTATGAGTTGAATATAAAATATAGGAAAATAGATAATTTCACAGGTTCATCCCTTTAGCTAAAATAGCAAAAATATTGCATTGAGACAAAATTGATTGGCATCAAATGTGTATAGAACATTATTAAGCATGGAAATACCCCAAAAATACTTTCGCATTTATTAAATCCCACAGTGTTTGACGTCACTATGATACTATGACCTTTGTTTGTCCTGATTTAGCGTTTGATTTTGTGCATAATGTGAAATCTTGCATTGAATGGTAAAATGGTCTATAATCTCCCAAATGAATGATGTTAACATGTTTGTTGATTTTAGACTTGCGCAAACCCCTCCTACTACAACAATGCTCAACAATAGAGGCCCATGGCACCAATGTTGTACCTTGTAACTGAAGTGTATGATCAGCATTAAGTGGTTAACATCTGGTACTTACAGTACATGTATCATCAACATAACTAGAACTACTGAATGAACACAGTAGAATATCTGTATTAATCATGTATATATCAATTGCATTAAATAGGATGAGCCCACCACTGGCATGGATCCAAAATCGAGACGAACTGTCTGGGCCAATGTCCTAAGTGTGATCAGAGATGGCAGATCAGTTGTCTACACTTCTCACAGGTAAATAGAACACTTTTAAATACAGAGATTTTTTTAAACAAGGGAACAGGGGCGCATGCCATGGTCATGCGCCCCCTTACCATGGGGAGCAGATCCTCTGGCAACCATAAAATTCTGATTGACCAGGGATCACAGGTGCCACAGTCTTCAACTGTGACCTGTCTGATAGTAATTTTGGCCCCAAGGAAGCCATGGAATGCGCCATCTAACTTTGAATTATCAAAAACTCCACACCCTGGTAGGGAGAACCCTATCTCCCTCACTTGGTGGCGCCGCTGAATTGCAGTGCTCCCTCTTGCAGATTTTTTCTAGAAAAACCCTGGAAATACGTACCTGATAAAATTGAGCCTTTTATAAAACACTGCTTATCATTGCATTAATTTCAATGTTGTTTATATTGTTTACAACAAAAATGTGTCAAAATTAAATGTTAGAATTTGATACTGGAAATAGGAGTTAGTATTAAGGTTTTTTTTCTAACTATATTAAAAGATGTGTTTCACTTTTGTGTGGAATACCTGACCTTGCATCTTGTGTGTGCCACAAGGTCCATATAGCTCTGTCTCACTGATATAACTATGTGTGTGTATGCCTGTTTTGTCTGTTGTTTTGTGTTATAAGATCAAAGATTTTCCTGCAACTTGTTGATTTTTTTGTGTATGATGTTATTTCTACTACATTAACTTAAAGGAAGGGATATAACATATTCTGTATGATATCATTATCCATTCTATACAACATCGGATTACTGTAAAATACTTTATTTTAGCTGGAATTAATTTTTGTGTGTAATTTATTTTCACTGATTTCTGACGAGTTGAATGTAAAATATAGGAAAAAAAGTATATTCACTGAATTCTATTTTCACTGAATCATTCCTTTTGCGGAAATTAATTTCAAGCGAAAATAATTTTACATTATTACTGATAATATCAATGATTGTTTGTCCTACAGCATGGAGGAATGTGAAGCACTTTGTACAAGACTAGCCATCATGGTAAACGGAAGGTTCAAATGTCTGGGAAGTCCCCAACATGTCAAGAATAAATACGGACAAGGTTACATGCTTACAGTAAAAGTTGGCGGTGAGAGCCCCGACCTCATACCTGCAAGGAATTTCCTGTCTACCTCCATCCCTGGCGCTGTTTTGAAGGTAAGATACAAAATGTCAAATTTCTAGAAATCTAGATAGATAATATTACCAGAATAGTGCGCACATATCATCAACAAAGCGGTTTTCCCAAAATGGAGACTATCTTCAAATTGAGAGAATTCACCAGATCGTAGTCTTGTCGGTTAGGAGACCATCACGAGATCAGAAGACAACCAATTAATCCACAAGTTATCAAGTCTATACGCACTTAGAAGACACTTCACTCATCTTAAGAGTGGGTTATCAATGTTCAAAAAGTGAAGGCATGTATAAATGCATACAGACTTTCAAATGAAGTTTCCACAATATCATATTTAACTATTTTTTTACATATTGTTCTCAGGAGAGTCATCACAATGTTCTCCAGTATCAAGTACCGAATAAAATCGGGACATTATCAAGAGTGTTCGGAGTTCTTGAAACAGAGAAGAGTCGTTATGATATAGAAGATTATTCCCTTACACAAACAACCCTCGATCAGGTTAGTATTATTTGATTATCGTGAATCTCTGCAGGAATGAAGCCAGTAATAAACTTCTGGTTTTCGTTACCCGCAAAAAATAGTTCCGGTAAATAAATTTAACTTGGGAGTACATTTGTCTGAAAATCTCTTTGGATAAGTAGAATCCAGGTCAAGTTAACTCTTTGAATGCCATCATTTTTTTCAAACAAGATTGTGGTGCAACATTTCGCCAGTTTTAATGTATTTTTTTATATTTCTTTTCATGATATGAACCAGATGGACATAATTTTTTTATTGGCTACAAATGTTGATCAAAATTTTGGAATAATCATGAAAAAAATATGTGCGTTTTAAGCTTGTGAATGGTGACTTAAAGTTGACTTTGACATTCAAAGGGTTAATGATATGCAAAATACCTAATTAGTATGCACATACGATATATAGAACTATTTTATGAATGGTGACTTAAAGTTGACTTTGACATTCAAAGGGTTAATGATATGCAAAATACCTAATTAGTATGCACATACGGTATATAGAACTATTTTGTGAATGGTGACTTAAAGTTGACTTTGACATTCAAAGGGTTAATGATATGCAAATTACCTAATTAATATGCACATATGGTATATAGAGCTATTTTGTGAATGTTAACAAAAGTTGACTTTGGTGCTCAAAGGGTTAAACTATTTTGATTTTTGTAGATGTGTTTTGGTCAATAAAATGTCAAATGAGTTGAAAGTCACTATGCTGGAGTTTTGGTGGTGGCATCTTTGATTACACCCACTTTCGTTCGTTTTTCTCATCTGTGTATTCTTGTGATCCCCACACAGGTATTTATTAACTTCTCGAAAAGCCAGAAAGACCCGATTGATGTTGAAGCAGGAAGAGACAATAATGGGTACCTTGGTGACGCTGAGGACGAAGCCCAGCTTGCATAAAAATCAGTTCCATTTTATAGTAAGTATACACTGTCTGATTTTTCAAATCACCGCCGTATTTTTATTTACTGGAAATGGAATTTCTTGTATTGCTGCCAATCCAACTTCATTTTTGGAGTTTTCCCTTTATGTTCTCAATAGTCAATGCCATGATTACCAGACCTTACTAAAAGTTAAACTTACATAACCATAGCTAAGCTTTCTCCAAAGCAAACTCTAAATGAATTTTGTATAGATCTTTGTTTAGTGTGTAAAACCAATCAAAAGCGAGTGCAAGAGAATATGAACTGATGTGACTGCAGATTCTTGAATACTAAAGGTGTTTACCATCTTTAATTTAGTAGGATTTTTTATTGTGTGTCTGTTTCACAATATGGAATGTGATAAATACTGTAGAACATGTTGAAATAGCTGCATGCAATTTTAGCGGATTTGACTTTTGGCATGAATTAACAGAATCTTAATTTAGCTAAAGTGTTGACTATCCCCCTGTGAGAATATACTTTCTGTTAAATTAGCTGCATCTTGAATTAGCGTAATTACAGATTAGCTAAAATAGCTAAAATAACATGCTAGCTAAAAAGACATGCTTTACGTCCAGTTAGCGTTTTTGTTTTAAATCAATTTATTCATTAATAAATTTTTTTTTTTAGATTCCTGCTAATGTAACAAAAGAAGAATATTCAGAAAAAATTGATCAATGCAAAAAAAGGAAAGCTTGTTTTTAATTGTAATATAAACCATTATGAAAGTGTTGTATAATTCACAAATGTGAATTTATTTTTTTAAACTTAAGAGCAATATTTTTTCATAATTTGTAGTATATAATTGAGAAATAAAAACAAAAAACACTGGACACTGATAACAGTAATTCCATCAAGCAGTGAGCATGTGTAGCACTTTTTAACAAATGCTATATAGATGCATGGTGCCCCTCTCAATTATGCAAATACCTACAATATTACAGTATTTTCTCTATTATAAGCACATGTTTAATACAAGTGCATATAAACCAAGAATTGCAATTAATGTATACTAAATCATAGAAATATGGTTTATTTGGCCCATAGAAACGTATGGTATTTACCGGTAGTATGTATGTAAGCATACATGTATATGCTTTTAATAGGGAAAATACGATATATTTAATATACATCATTTTTCAAATAAGGATATGTTCAGAGTTTTCTCAGAATTAATCTTAACTAGATGCATTGGATTAAATTAATTCTGAGAATATCTTTGATATGGAAAAATTGGGGGTATATATATGATATATTCAAAGAGGCAATTGTCCTATTCTGGTGAGCTAATTTTTTCAGTCAATGGGACTCAAAATGCCTGAAATGAACACGCAGTTACAGCTTAAAGAACTGAGTAATTGTAATTTTGTTTCAGAACATGATCCACAGTACTGTAAATGCACTACCGGTAATTATTTACCAAGTTTTAATTTTGCGGATAAGTAAAATCTTGTTTGTGAACTCAAAACTTGGTGAATATGCTCACAATATCAAAGTAAGTGAAATTAAATGCCAGTGCATTTAAATGATTTTACAGTACACAATATACTTGCAGGTTTCAATGTATTATTTTTGAAATTGCGAATATAGATATATTATTCAGAGAATTTTACACAGTATTATATTCAATGACATTTTCATTTTCTGTCCAAGCATCCTCTTGAATATTTTTGGGGGGTATTTTCAAGAAGGAGAGGGAGTCTTGGGAGGGGTAAGCATTTGATTGATTGATTGATTGATTGATTGATTGTTATCTTTATCAATTTGTATTCTACTTATTCTGATTGTTATTTCCTTGTATTTAAAAAATTCCTTTTAAACAGATTATGGTTGTTTTTCATCTTGACAATATGTTCATATTTACACCTCTGATGCAATTATCAATGACGTTTTATCAAGAACTACTCATTTGTTACTATGGCAACATTACTTACTTTAGTATATTATTGAATTTTTAAATTAATACATAAAATCTTTTATACAAAATTATTCTAATAAATATAATATATTGATACGATTACTCTGTAGCAATTATAAAACTAACATTTTTTGTACATGTGGTTAAAAACTTTCCAGGCCAGTTAATTTTTTTTTTTTAGCGACAATGTCTGGAAATGTTATTTTACGTGATTCTTATTAAAACTCAATTTTTGTACTTCGTTATTTACTACATCATGCTTTTGTTTTGTTTTTCAAATCAATATTTGTACAAATATATATGTATTTATCTTTACTATCAGCTATGTTACAATTTTTATGTTTCATTAAAGTAAGCACTTGATCAATAACAAATGTGTTCTCTATTGATTTAGTATGTGCAAGTGTTTGGAAACAATTTGTCTGAATTAGTTTTGTAAACTCTTGTTGTCTTCAGGTACTTCATTAATTATTTGCTGGTTTTTAATTTTGCTATTCGCCATCTGGGTGGGCGTTGGTTTTCATTTTGTATGTGTGATTGTGTTACCATGGTTACAACCTAGAAATCAATTTTACTCTATTATCTCAGTTATTATGTATGATATTTTTCCTGTAATTGTGCAAGCCCTTCCAAGCGAAAACAAGGTGTAGTTTGTATTTTTAAAGACCAAATGTGCCTCAACCCAAAAGTTGGAATTTGCTTATATGTTTGGAACTGCGCATGCTCGGGCCTCTGCTTCAAAATATCCGCGTAGATGAGTTTATTCATATTGCTCGGGTGTTTCGATTTTCACAGGATTTAACCCGTTTTAGTTCGAATAAAGGTAATGTAAGTCGATCGATAGTTTCTACCGATATCATGCTTGAGTTGTGTGAAGCGGATCGAAATATAATTTGGAAAATCGTGTTATTTTCGGGAAGTTTCGATGTCATGGTGTCAACGCTTTCCTACCTTGTGTTCTTATATGAGTTGTAAGGGAATTTACCGGCGACTGACTAACTATGCCGATTACACTTCAGGTCATTTTTTATTATCCAGGAAACGTTCCGAGCGTCTGTGCCGTATTATACAAGACCCGATCAGTCTTGCTTGTACCGGTAATTGTACTGGCTGACAATCCCCGGGCCAGCATTCATGGAAAGCTGTGCGCGTGCTCATTTTTCAGTCTTATACAACTAATACATTTTATTAGTTGTCTGAAGTTCTTTCCAAAAAATCACACCCTTAGTGCTTTACTCGGACTTAACCACTAAAAGTAGTCAGATCACTAACGAAAAGGGCTATAGCGACAAATCAAAGGATGTAAAAATGTTACTCAAACAGGCAACTCTGGATGTGTAGTCGTCCTCATATGAAATAAAGCAAATCTCAATAAAAAATACCTGGTTATTGAACGACTACAGCCGACGGTAAACATTCTGTGATGACGTCTCTTTCACCTGTTTACGTAATAGAATCTATAGAAGGCGCTATTATAAGAATGACACCCTATCATTACACGTGGTTCTGTGAATTAGTGAATGAATTAGTTTAGAATATTTGGACAGTGAAGGTAAACGTTTTATGAATAGAGCTATCCAAAAAACTAGTTAAGCATTTTACTATTAATAATTGATCAGGAAAGGGGGAGACATACGTTCATCTAAGTCCATGGAACAACCGTCACGCACGTTGAGGTACGCGCCCTGTGTTCAACAGATTGATGTGATTCACAACCTCGGGTTCACACCTCAAAAAATAAATACCCGTTTCCAGGCCGGTCTAGGCTTGACATGAGTACAACAAATGTTTTCCGTAGACTCAACGTGACAAGCAAGTTCAGAAATTAAGTTAAAATCCTCAATCAACACATAAAGTATTAATTTCTGTCCACGAACTTTCGCATCTACATTTTTTGCCGGGAATATTATTGGTTGTAACCCAGAAGATGCCGCTACATAGCCTAACTAAGAATAATTGCTCGGAAATACAACTGAACACACAACGACATGGTAAATGATAGTTGCATCACAGTGGTTGGATGAAAACAAACATGTGATGCGTGCGTAACTCGAACCGACTCTCTCGTACGTCACCAAATCTCTCTCAGATCTGGCTGTACAGATGGAGAAACTCTCGAATGTAATAGTTCGGCATAAATAATAGCTGATACATCTCTCCAATAAGTTGTAGCGCCCTCAAGTTGGCATTTTTCTAACAAAGATTTCTGTGAGTACCGTAGGTTACCCCTCCCCCCGTGCTGCGTTCAAACAGGTAATTCAGTCTGGTAGCGCATGCAGTAGTTTGGAGTATAGTAACACTTTGAACAAAGAGAGAAGTCAAACATTCTCAACGATGTGGACGGAGATCATTTACAGGAGCATTTCATCGCAAGAGGGCGCAACTCATAGAAACGACGTAATTTACCGTAATGACGAGCTATTACGTAATACTCACAACGTCTTCTAATCAACGTTTTACAGAAATAACATGACGGCTTTGGTCACTAGAATTTAGCAATCGTTGTTGTTTTGATTCCGGGTGCCATTTGGACTCCAACCTATTGACCAAATGAATTGTCTTATTAATGTTAGTGCTATTACTAAGACAATAAAAATATAATATTTTGAATTCACATAAACATTGCTTTAATCTAAAAACAGGACTGGTGTGTGAAAAATGGAGATCCTAAACTGTGTTCTCAAATATAGCCTGACAAGGTCGCGTGAATTGCGCCCTCCGTGGTGCTCCAAACCCAAGCCGGCGAGGGCGCTAGTTACTAGTACTACTGAAGACAAATCCTAAATATACTTCAGCACCGTCAAAATATAATAACTTCAATAAAGTGAAAAAACGGCACTAAAACGACCTAGTAGAAAAGTGCATTTATTCAAGTAACGTTTCCAAGTGTTTCCCCCCTTTTCAAACTACAAGCACTATAGCTGCAAGATAAATAGAAAAAGAAATGTAAAAAATACAATCATCACATTAAAGCCTGTCGGCTATAGATATTACAAACAATCACACTGAACTTAAAGGTTACATACATATAGAACAGATAGAAGCTCAGATGTGACCTGACAAAAACGCTTCACGAAATTAGTGAAATGTTCTATTTAATGTTTTAATTTTTTTTTTTTTTTTTTTTTTTTTATCCAGGCGACAGTTCCGGACATTGAATGTCACTGTTGTCTCTTCTGACTTTTTTTTTTAATTGCTAGTGCTGACACATTTTTGCCACAGAAGTCATATTCATATTTGGAACTACATGAAAAGGCTGTGCGGCCAACTCTCTATCAAATGACAATTCAATGCGCTATCCTGGCGTCAACCAGGCTCGGTCAAACACAAGCACCTGCGGACCTTAACCAAGGTTCCCCCAAGGTCGCATTCGTTAGTGAATGAATCTCGGCCAGTGGAATTGGCCTTCCCATTGAGTCTGTAGTACACTCACCCAGGGTATGGTTCTATCATAGACCTTAGAATATTTTATTTTATTTTATTGGGGTGTGGTTTTAATGTTTACTACAAAAAGTTCAATACAAACTTTGCTTCAAAACGCTTGCCATTTGTTTCTGGAACGCGAAAATAATAAAGACTTAATTAAACCGAACTACTGAAACAGGTAAAAAAGTCCACCGCTCGTTTGTTTTTTCTTTCGACCAGTCATGTAGAATATCTTCGTGAGAAGCGCCCTCTTGCGCTTAGCAGGTTACAGTAGATCGTATTGTCATTCTATTTCCTCCAGATTCGATAAACTTATTAGACTACTAGTATAACAACTACTGGAGCATCATTGGTTGTTTAACCCAACCCGAAAATGTTTGTGTGATATAGAGAAGAATGCAACACCAATGATGCGGTCCTCATTTCCTGGATAGTATTCATAGGCACAATATGTATTATTTACGCCTATGTCGTGACACAGTGTATGAGATACAGGCTACGCCCACGTATATTAATAATCTCTCGATAGAAACAACGCCCAATGATACCCTGGTGTAAATTGACTCATTCGTTCTGTATGCCAGGCTAATTATACCGGTATTGTTCACGCGTATCTTGTTGACGCCCGGGGGGGGGGGTCAACTCTAAGGCTCGCAAACTGATCAAGATGATGAATTATTGGTGTTATTTGTAGTCTTAGTAAATATTACGTAATAAGGGGTGGGAACGCATTGTATGTTCCGCATTGTGCAGGATCGGAGGTGCGTGACGAATCAAAGGTACACCGGCCCAAAATAATTAACACCAATATTTCAATCTATCACAGGTTGGAAAATATTCATTGTCCAGGTGGCATCACTTGTATTAACGTCGGGTTGGTTGATGACTTGCTACATATTGGCATTTTCGTACTTAATCCTTAATCCGGTTTTTCCTCTTATCCTGACAGTCAAAGTATTGCAAAAAAAAAAAATGCAAGAACATATTGTGAAGCACATTAAATACACCTTAACGGAAAACCACGGGTGTTTGATTACACAGTCACTGAATTCCCCACCAACACTCGCCAGAATAGCAAGCACGCGAACGTATAGCGAAAATTTCGTTGATAAAAAGACCCGGGAATTGAAACCGTACTAAAACTGTATTACAAGCAATCTACTTAGCAGGATGGTGTCAAATGTGTATTTTTAAACAGGTGACCTAATGGCATCGTTGCTATGCTCGCGTGAAAGTATACGTAATCTTCGGGTGCATTCATTGACGTCAAATTTAAAGATACCACAGATAATATTGAATGTTTTATTTTTAACGAAGATGTTTTTCTTCATCGTATAAACGACTCTTGATGGGTGACGCAATATGATTTACTCTCTAATCGGTATTAAATGACCACAGGTCGATCTTTAAAGGGGCGCGTACTATACAGCTCATTTTCAACATCATAATATACAAGTATGTCCCGATCCCGGTCTTTATACGACCGATGAGTCATAACGAGTCCGACTTCGTCTGGACCTACGGTACTGTAACGGTCTGTCGGTGGGGGAGCTGTTATTTTCCAAGGGCAT